AAACAACCCTACAGGAAAAACTCTAATAAACCTATTTTTAAAATTGGCAAAAGGAAGGCTGGGTGTGGTGTCTTATCCCTGTAATCCCAGCACTTTGGGAGGCTGAGGTGGGCAGACTGCTTGAGCCCAGGAGTTCAAGACCAGCCTGGGCAACATGACAAAACCCCATCTCTACAAAAAAAATAAAATTAGCTGGGCATGGTGACACATGCTTGCAACCACAGCTGCTTGGAAGATGAGGCAGGAGGATCACTTGAGCCCGGGATGTTGAGACTGTGGTGAACTGTGATTGTGCCACTGCACTCCAGTCTGGGTAATGGAGTGAGATCCTGTCTCAAAAAAAAAAAAAAAAAAAAAAAGATAAATAACCTACACAGATATTTCTCTAAAGAGGCTGGGCATGGTGGTTAATGCCTATAACACCAGCACTTTGGGAAGCTGAGGCAGAAGGATCCCTCGAGTCCAGGAGTTTGAAACCAGGCTGGGCAACATAGGGAGACCCTGTCTCTCCAGAAAATTAATAAACTAGCCAGGCATGGTGGTGTATACCTATAGTCCCAGCTACTCAGAGGCTGACATAAGAGGATAGCTTGAGCCTGGGAGGTAGAGGCTACAGTGAGCTGTCATCATATCACTGCACTCCAACCTGGGTGGCAGAGTAAGATCCTGTCTCAAAAAATAATAATAAAAAATGAAACAAAAAAAGGCACAGAAAATGTGGTATGTGTAGGTGTAGACAGTGGAGCACTATTGAGCCATAAAAAGAATAAAAGCCTTTCATTTGTAAAAACATGGATGAAACTGAAGGTCATTAAGTTAAATAAACCAGACACAGAAAGACAAACTTTGCATGCCCTCACTTATTTGTGGGAGCTAAAAATTTTAAAAATTGAACTCATGGAGCTAGAGAGTAGAACGATGGTTACCACAGGCTGGGAGGGGTAGTGGGGAGAGGTGGGGAGGGTTAATAGGTACACAGAAATAGAAACAAATAATAAGATCTAGTATTTGCTAGCACAACAAAGTGACTATAGTAAAAAAATAATGCAATTGTACATTTAAAAATAACTAAAATAGTATAATGGGATTTGTTTGTAACATAAATGATAAATCCTTGAGATGATGGATACCCCATTTATCCCAATATGATTATTATGCACTGCATGCCTATATCAAACTATCTCCTGTAACTCATAAAACCGACTATGTACCCACAAAAATAAAAAATAAATTAAAAAGCTCATCTACAAAATAAATGAGGATTATAATGCCTACCTCATGGGTTGTTTAAAAGACTGAGATAATACATACAGTGTGTCGGCTGACCGCGGTGGTTCACGCCTATAATCCCAGCACTTTGGGAGGCTGAGGTGGGTGGATTACAAGGTCAGGAGTTCCAGACCAGCCTGGCCAATATCATGAAACCCCATTTCTACTAAAAATATAAAAATTAGCCAGGTGTGATGGCAGGCTCCTGTAGTCCCAGCTCCTTGGGAGGCTGAGGCAGGGGCATCGCTTGAACGCAGGAGATGGAGATTGCAGTGAGCCAAGATCACGCCACTGCACTCCAGCCTGGGCGACAGAGCAAGACCCTGTCTCAAAAAAAACACAAACACACACACACACACACACACACACACACAGACACACACACACACACACACACAATGTGTCTAGCAGAGTCCCTGCACATTGCAGGTATTTTATCAATGTGAATTGCCTCTACCTTCTTTCTCCCACATTAGGGAATGATACAGTTAACATTTTAATCAAAGTCTAACTGCTAAATACAGACAGTTGTGGGATACAGAAGGGAGGGTGAGCTTGAGATCACAGAATACTCTGAGAGGTAGAGAAACAAGATCAGGTCTACTCTGACAGAATTTCTGGGAAATACTGATGTGGCTCCCCCTCAACCCTCCACTGTCATAGTGTTTGAGGATTGGTGGGTATTACAAATTCAGTAAAAGTGCTCCCTCTTGGGAAAACTAATTAGAAAGGACTTCAGAGGTCTATGGCAGACTTCGCCTTCTAACAGGAGATACACATGGGCAGTTAGCAAACTGCAACAGACTCAGTGGGACCCAGTGTTGAAAACTAGTAGGAAATTAAGTTAGAGTCAAGGTAATATAAATACTCATTAAATTCAGTAAGAACAAACTTAAAGTCACTTAGTAGAAAAAGCATCCTGTGAGAGGAAGACAGGAAAAAATATTGTGCAAACATGGAAGAAGATAAATTGGCAAGAAAAAAGAGTATGGAGGCTGGGCACAGTGGCTGAAGCCTGTAATCCTAGCACTTAGGGAGGCCAAGGCGGGCGGATCACGAGGTCAAGAGATCGAGACCATCCTGGTCAACATGGAGAAAGGATGTTTAAGACCCCCAGCACAATACCTGAGACAAACAGGTGCTCAGTAAATATTAACTGTTATTACTACTGTTGTTATAAATAACAGGTCACCATAATCTAAAAGTTAATTATCATCAGTGTTGTAATTTAATAAACAATCACAACACTAAGTTGTACCCAGCAGTAAGTTACACAGGAACTTAGGAGGTGATTAGTCATCCACAGACATGGACACTGTATAATGACAATTGGCTGTCCTGTCTCTGGTAAAAACAGCAATAATTATAAAGCCTGTAAGAAACAATGCAAAGCAGTATGAAGAAAGTTGTGAGTGATTTTTCACTTAAAAAAAAAAAAAAAATTTAGGGTAGGGAGAGACCTATGCTAATTTTTAACTTACCCTGACTACAATGGCTAAAATACAGCCCAGAGGCAAGGGATGAATGAGGCGACTATCAGACACTTTCACCAGGGGGACTGTCCGCCTGCCAGCTGCTCCTGCAATTCCCCCTGCTCCACTGTCTCCATTTCCCACTTTTTCTGAGTACTTAAAAAAAAAAAAACAAAAAAACCATTCTCTAGACTCCTAAGAGTTGATGTAAAATTTTCTCATTCTGTTTATGCTTGATGGTGCTCTTATAATCACCCTAGCATTTATACTGATTTATACTGTTTGTCGATTTATACTGTATATCTCAGTAGCTTTAAAATGTAAAGCTACAGAAAGAAGAGTAGGATGACTTCCTAAGATTGACTGCCATCTGGGAGAGGCCAAATCAATTATTCAAAATAAACAAAGAATCTGCAATGTAAGGTGAGATATGGAGCTATTAATAAAAATTTCAAATCCTTCAAAAATGACACGAGTAAAACAAAAACAAAGCAAAACAAAACAAAAAAGAAAAAAAAAATGGAATGTTTGGGATCTAAGAAACATTTCCAAAAAGGAAAAGAACAAAAACACAGTCACAACAAAATATAAATGTAGCCCTTGTCAGAGTAAATCACTGATTTTAAAGTAATTGACTTTCAATGAGTGAATAGCACCATGCTGCTGAAAACATACACGCAGAGAAGTGATTTTCTTGTTAATTTTGCAGATTCTAAATTCTTAAAATAAGTGGGTTGTTCTTAAGATGAATAATTTCCTTTTAGGGTCATAATAAATAACAGAAGAAAAATGCTTTGTCAATACAATTACAAGGAAGCTACTGCTCTCCCCATAACAACAGAGCTCAAACACACTGGCCTATGGAAACGGTAAACTCTGTTACTTCGACACTATGAATTGAAATTCTTGTGAAAGACTGAATTATCAGAGTTTTAAAATTCCTCTAGTTTTAATTAGTGATTAGAAAGGGTAAATAGGAGGCCAGGCGCGGTGGCTCAAGCCTGTAATCCCAGCACTTTGGGAGGCCAAGGCGGGTGGATCACGAGGTCGAGAGATCGAGACCATTCTGGTCAACATGGTGAAACCCCGTCTCTACTAAAAATACAAAAAATTAGCTGGGCATGGTGGCACGTGCCTGTAATCTCAGCTACTCAGGAGGCTGAGGCAGGAGAATTGCCTGAACCCAGGAGGTGGAGGTTGCGGTGAGCCGAGATCGCGCCATTGCACTCCAGCCTGGGTAACAAGAGTGAAACTCCGTCTCAAAAAAAAAAAAAAAAAGGGTAAACTCTATTTCTCCAACACTGACTGTGAATTGAAATTCTTGTAAAAGACTGAATTATCAGATTTTTAAAAATCTTCTAGTTTTAATTAATGATTAGAAAGGGTAAATGGTAGAGCTCTGGTATCATTTTGCATGAAGTGAAGAGGACACCACCATTCTAAAAAGGCACAATGTTTTTTGACAAGGCTGCCCAAAAGTGGAGAAATGGATTTGAGTTCTCTTAAAGGGAAAGAGAACAGCACATAACCATTTTTCAAACTACAATTCAGATCTTTGTTGTTGTTGTTGTTGTTGTTTTTTGAGACAGAATTTTGCTCTAATTGCCCAAGGTGGAGTGCAGTGGTGTGATTTTGGCTCACTGGAACCTCCAACTCCTGGGCTCAAATGATCCTTCTACCTCAGCCTCCTGAGTAGCTGGGATCACAGGCATGTACCACCAAGCCTGGTTAAGTTTTGCTTTTCTTTTTTAGATGGAGTTTTATTCATCGCCCAGGCTGGAGTGCAATGACATGATCTTGGCTCACTACAACCTTCACTTCCCAGGTTTAAGCAATTCTCTTGCCTCAGCCTCCCAAGTAGCTGAGACTACAGGCAAGTACCACCATGCTCAGCTAATTTTTTTATTTTTTAGTAGAGATGAGGTTTCACCATGTTGGCCAGGCTGCTCCTGAACTCCTGACCTCAGGTAATCCACCCACCTCAGCCTCCCAAAGTGCTGGGATTACAGGCGTGAGCCACTGCAAAATATAAACGCCCAGACATTTTTGCATTTTTTATAGAGATGGAGTTTCATTCACCATGTTGCCCAGGCTGGTATTGAACTCCTGGGCTCAAGTGATCTGCCCTCCTTGGCCTCCCAAAGTGCTGGGATTACAGGCATGAGCCACCATGCCCTGCCAGATCTTTGTTTAAGGGGTTAAGAATCAAGGCAAATACGGAAAACTTGTAGCCAGTTGTGAACACTGATAATACTCTACCTATTCTCTGTCTCCAGTTCACTCTTGCGTAGATTTGCATCATCTAGAAGGCTCTGCAATAAGGCTATTTTTTCATTGTCCGAACCTTCTTGGTTAAGTTTTAACATCTTATTCTCAAGCTGAAGACGTATAAGTTTCTCCCTGAATGAACAAAATAAAAACTAAATATTATATACACAGTCATTTGGTGCATTAACATTCAATACAAGTATCAAAACCAGCTAAGCACTCTTACAAATTTAATACCAGAACAGAAATGAAAAACAAAGAACTTGCAACAAATTCAGCTATTATAGCTGGCAAAGACATTACAATTCAGATTTTAAATATTTTCTTTATAGAATGGATATGAAAATAATAGAGTCTCTAAATATCATGATTTGTAATGAATGCGATTTCAAAATCCTATTTCTTTTCTGATTTAAACATTTAAGCTATGAATGCATTTATTTATTTATGTGATTCTTATCAGAGAACATAATCTCTAATGCTATGCTCTTAAATTACCAATCATTTGGTGGTAAGATATTATATTCAACAAGAATCACTGCAACACATTCAGTCTACCCATTCCTGTAGATATGTAAAATTAAATTCTTGAAACAAGCCATATCATTACAATCAGGTTATTGGACCGCATTGTTTTGGACTCTGCATATGCAAAAAGCTTAACATTAAGGGATATTTAAAAACAGTATCTATACAGAACTTGTCACCACATTTTCTGCAGGGACGATATAATTAAATGTTAGTTCATATGAAGACATACTTGTTGAAGATATAATTTATTCTTTTCTTTACACAGGGTCATCTGTAGAGGTCCCCATAAAACAGTGTGAACAGATACCAGATACTAAGAAAAGCTGTGGAAAAGCTTCTGGTGGAAAAAGAAAGATCAAGAAACATGCACACACACACATTGCTCTTACTTTGTAAACACAATAAATCTCATAAAGTATTTTTAGTTTTGCTACTGAAAAGATGAACCAAATTTGTGGTCTAATTCAAGCAACTATTTAGAATTTGATGTATTTTGTTACGGGCAACATGGACTTTATCTTTTTCAGTTACAAAGTAAATACACACATTGTAAAAAAAAAAAAAAGAAAAGAAAAGAAAATATAAACCCTCCCTAATGATGGTGCAAAATACTGCTGAAATATGGCCTTCTAATTCTATGCACATATATGCACAAATGGAATCACACAGTACTTTTTACATTGATGCCTGCTATTTACAGCTAAAATTTCATAATCTTTTTATATCATTAAAGATATTTGAATATTTTAAATGACGTGGCATTAAAATCGTTACTTATTTAGTAAATGCCCAATTTTTGGATATTTAGATTGCTACCAATTTTGAGCTTTAAACAAGTGAGTAAGATCTTTTTTTTTTTTCTTTTTCTTTTTTTTTTTTTGAGACGAATTCTAGCTCCCGTAGTGCAGGCTGGAAGTACAGTGATCTTGGCTCACTGCAACTTCCACCTTCAAGGTTCAAGCAATTCTCCTTCCTCAGCCTCCTGAGTAGTTGGGATTACAGGCATGTGCCACCACGCCCGGCTAATTTTGTAGTTTTAGTAGAGACAGGCTTTCTCCATGTTAGCCAGGCTGGTCTCAAACTCCCAACCTCAAGTGATCCACCAGCTTCGGCCTCCCAAAGTGCTGGGATTACAGGGATAAGCCACTGTGACTGGCCAAGATTAGCTTTATAAATATACTTTTCTGTATATCCTTAGTTATTTCCTTAGGATTAACTCCCAGAAAAGTAATTTTTGGATCAAAAGATACATGCATTTTTAAACAGACACATCCTGTCAATTTCCTCAAAGAAAGGTCTTACCACTTTAATCTTTTTTCCTTAGTTTATGAGATTTCCAATTTGTCCACACTCTTTTTTTTTTTGAGATGGAGTTTCGCTCTTTTTACCCAGGCTGGAGTGCAATGGCACGATCTCGGCTCACTGCAACCTCCGCCTCCTGGGTTCAGGCAATTCTCCTGCCTCAGCCTCCTGAGTAGCTGGGATTACAGGCACGCGCCACCATGCCCAGCTAATATTTTGTATTTTTAGTAGAGACAGGGTTTTACCATGTTGACCAGGATGGTCTCGATCTCTTGACCTTGTGATCCACCCACCTCGGCCTCCCAAAGTGCTGGGATTACAGGCGTGAGCCATCACGCCCGGCTATACTCTTAACATAAATAAAACATATCAAACATTAACCCACTGTCTAAAACGTGTTGTAAAATTTTCACCCCAGTTTATCATTTTTCCTTGAGAGCTCTCTTCTGGACATACAGCCAATTTTAATTTGTATCTAGTCATACTCAGAAAAGTCATATTTGTTGTATCTTTATCATCATTCTTTTTTTTTTTTGCAGACAGAATCTAGCTGTCATCCAGGCTGGAGTGCCAAGGTGCCAGCTTGGCTCATTGCAACCTCTGCCTCCCAGATTCAAATGATTCTCGTGCCTCAGACTCCTGAGTACCTGGGATTATAGGCATGTGCCACCACGTCCAGCTAATTTTTTTGTTTTTAGCAGAGATGGGGTTTTGCCATGTTGGTCCGGATGATCTCGAACTCCTGAACTCAAGTGATCTGCCTGCCTTGGCCTCCCAAAGCACTGGCACTGCAGGTGTGAGCCACCGTGTCTGGCCTATCATTGTTTTTAGTTTAAAAAAAACAATTGTATTACCAATAAGCTTCCTTAAAACTGTGGATTGTTTTGGACATAACCACTTATTTATAAATATTCATAAACATGTGTTCATTTATTTAACAAATCTTACTGGTTCAATTATAAAGTAGCATATCAGATGTCAGAAAAGAAAAAGGCGCACAAGATACTTCCAGACTTGGTGTTGCCGTAAACTCCTTTCGTCTGTCTTTCTTATTATTATTATTTGTTTGAGACAGAGTCTTGCTCTTGTTGCCTAGGCTGGAGTGCAATGGCAAAATCTCAGCTCACTGCAATCCCCACCTCCTGGGTTCAAGCGAGTCTCCTACCTCAGTCTCCCGAGTAGCTGGGATTAAAGGGATGCATCACCATGTCCAGCTAATTTTGTATTTTTTAGTAGAGGCAGGGTTTCGCAATGTTGGTCAAGCTGGTCTCGAACTCCTGATCTCAGGTGATCCACCCACCTCAACCTCCAAGAATGCTAGGATTACAGGTGTGAGCCACCATGCCCAGCCTGTTTGTCCTTCCTAAACAAATGCTAACCAACAACTACAAACTGTCTCCATTTATTCAACAAGTATTTGAATGCTTATTTCAACTTTTACAGTGCATGAAACTCGTACACAATTGTTATTTAATATCCCCCAAGGAGTTTATGAAGAAGCAAGGCCAGTTTCCATTTTTAAAGGGGCAAATAGGCCACAAAAAGGTAAAAAGCAATATTCAGAATTAATCATTCTCCTTTTAATGGACGCTTGTTGCCTACCCCACTTTTCTTTTTTGAGACAGAATTTCACTCGTTACCAAGACTGGAGTGCAATGGTGCAGTCTTGGCCTACTGCAACCTCCGCCTCACAGGTTCAAGCAATTCTCCTGCCTCAGCCACCCAAGTAGCTTCTGAGTAAAGGCATGTGCCACCAAGCCCACCTAATTTTGTATTTTTAGTAGTGACGGAGTTTCTCAATGTTGGTCAGGCTGATCTCGACTCCTGACCTCAGGGATCTGCCCACCTTGGCCTCCCTGGGATTACAGGCCATGGTGCCCGGCCTACTTTTCATTTTTATATATAAAGCTAGTTATGCATAAAAACAGATGGAACTGGCTGGGCATGCTGGCTCACGCCTGTAATCCCAGCACTTTGGGAGGCTGAGGTGGGCAGATCACGAAGTCAGGAGATTAAGACCATCCTAGGCAACATGGTGAAAACCCGTCTCTACTAAAAATGCAAAAAATAGCTGGGTGTGGTGGAGTGTGCCTGTAATCCCAGCTACTTGGGAGGCTGAGGCAGGAGAATCGTTTGAACCAGGGAGTTGGAGGATTCAGTGAGCCGAGATCGTACCACTGTACTCCAGCCTGGTTGCCGAGCAAGACCCTGTCTCAAAAAAATAAAAATAAAAATAAAAATAAAAATAAAAATGGAACTGGCTGTGTGCAGTGGCTCACGCCTGTAATCCCAGCACTTCGGGAAGGCAAGGTGGCCAGATCGTTTCAGCTCAAGGAGTTCAAGATCAGGCTAGGAAACATGGCAAAACCCAGTCTCTACAAAAAATAGCCAGGCGTAGTGGCACATGCCTAAGATCCCAGCTACTAAGTTGGCTGAGGTAGGAGGATTGCTTGAGCCCAGAAGGTCAAGGCTGCAGTGAACTGTGATTGTGCCACTGCACTCCAGCCTGGGTGACAGAGCAAGACTTTGCCTCTAAACAAATAAATAAACGGAATTTTTAAAATGCTGTGATTAAAAATATAAGGTATTACTGAGGAAAGAGTAGTGAAGGTGGGAAGTCATTTCCTCCTGTCTATAGCATTATATCTTTCCCAGACCTTTCCATGTGGTTAGCAGATAAATCTTAGTAACTAATGATTTTGCATGCTGATAGCTAAACATAACCATTGTCTACAGGCCAAGTGTCTTCATTGCTTAATGTTTGCTGAGTTTACTCAAGCTCAGGACATGATTGCTGGCTTTGTTATGTGTGAAAGATTGTCTTACTGAAGTGAGCAAATCAATTTTCTGCAGGCGCAGTTGAAGAAAGCTTCTAACATTGAAGGAATGTGTTCTCTTTCCAGGTCCACAAGGGGGCGTAGTCTTAAGGGCAAGAACTTCCCAGCGTCATGACCCCCTCCCATCTCTCTCCATCCGGCAGATTTAACAGTTTATGTTTAAATTTTGCGGGTGTGGGAAGAAACTAAGAGTCAATCACCCCAACAGAAGTTTAAAGGAACTCCTTTCATTGGCCAGAGGAACTTGAGGTGGTGGGAATTTCTCCCAGGATAAATTCCCCTGCTCCTTCACCCACACTGGATTTCCAGTTCTCTGGAATCCCCTCCCACATAGTGGGAGCTCTCTTTCCCCTGCTGGATTTCCCCTCTGGGGTCCTGCTTCCATATGCTCTTCCTGGAAGTTTTCTCTCTTCTTCTCCTTTTTCTCTCTCTGCCTAAATAAATCACTTTCTACAAACACTTTTGAGTTTGGCATTTACTTTTATAAGTGCACTGCACCATGGTCTCCTCTCCCATTCTTGGAGAGTGATAGACCAAGAACCTGGAGAGACAACCTCTCAGGGGAACTGAGGGCTCCGCTGAACTCCTGAACCCCAACATGTTGAAAACATAAAAATTTAACACTGAATTCATGTTTAAAGTGTCAGTGAGAAAGAATAAGGAAATGATCATCTTCATACTATAGAGAAGTAAGTTTTCTCCAGGAATACTATTCAGTGTGTGAACACCACAACTACCTTACCTGATTTCAGGTGTAACAATCTCTGCAGCTAGACTGTCTGAAGACTCCTGACTTCCCAGAGGCATTAACCCTGTAAATACACAAACATAAATATAAAGCTAACTGAAAACACAGTCATACAACTTCAATATGAAACCCTACTTTGAGCATTAATTTTATCAGCAAAAATCATCTTCTCAAGTAAAAGACCATGTCACAGTGGCCTTAAAATATTAGTAAGTATTAGTATTTTACCATTTTAACCATTTTAAAATGTACAATAGAGTGGCATTCAGGATATTCACAATGTTGTGTAACCATCACTGCTACTGATTTTCTAAACTTTTTCATCATCCAAATCACAAAGTCTATAACCATTAGGCAATAATTCCCTATTTCTCCCTCCCCTACTTTTTTTTTTTTTGAGACCAAGTCTCACTCTGTTGCCCAGGCTGGAGTGCAATGGCACAATCTTGACTCATTGCAACATCTGCCTCCTGGGTTCAGGCAATTCTTCTGTTTCAGCCTCCCAAGTAGCTGGGATTACAGAAGCCTGCCACCAAGCCTGACCAATTTTCTGTATTTTTACCTAAGACAGGTTTCACCATGTTGGTCAGGCTGGTCTCAAATTCCTGACTTTCGGTGATCTGGCAGCCTTGGCCTCCCAAAGCACCGAGATTACAGGCGTGAGCCACTGCGCCCAGCCTTACTTTTTAAATGTAATGATGTAACATACATATCTCCCTGTCAGGTGTGTAGAAAATATACCTTATTCTTTTAAATGGCTGTACTATATACCGTTGAATAAGAATACTATTCCTGTATTGCTGAACTTTCAGGTTGTTTTGAAATGTCACTATTAGAAACAATGCTTTAATTCATTGGGGTAAATTTAATTCCTAAGAGCAAAAGTGCTAGATCAAAGGATACATACACAAAGAGTGTGTCCTAGTCCATTTTCTGTTGCTTATAACAGAATAATTGAAACTGAGTCATTTATAAGAAACTATTTTTGGCTGGATGTGGCGACTCATGCCTGTAATCTCCCAGCACTTTGGGAGGCCTAGGTGGGCAGATGGCTTGAGCTTAGGAGTTCGAGCACGGAGCAAGACCTGTGGTCTTCGTAGATGGTGACTTTCGGATGGGGTCTCTGAGTGGATGTCCTTTTTGTTGATGCCGTTTTTTGTTTTTGTTTTGTTTTTTAGGGATAGGGTCTCACTCTGTCACCCATGCTGGAGTGAAGTGGCACAATTTTGGCTCAATGTAACCTCAAACTCCTGGGCTCCAGTGACCCTCCCACCTGGCTTTCCAAGTAGCTAAAACTACAGACAAGAGCCACTGTTCCTGGCTTGATATAGGAAGTTTGATATACAGCTGAGCACAGTGGCTCACGCTTGCCAAGGCGGGCAGATAACAAGGTCAGGAGTTTGAGACCAGCCTGGCCAACATGGTGAAACCCGGTCTTGACTACAAATACAAAAAATTAGCCGGGCGTGGCAGTGGGTGCCTGTAATCCCAGCTACTTGGGAGGCTGAAAGGGAGATCCAAGATGGTCGAGTGCAGTTCCTAGTGAGAGCAACGCAGAGGGTGAGTTATCACCACATTTACAAATGAGGTACCAAATGCATCTCAATGGGACTGTTTGCACAGTGGGTGTAGCCAAAGAAGGGCAAGCCAAGACAGGGTAGGGAGCTGCCTCACCCAGGAAGTGCAATCCCTGGAGGAACCCCCTCCCTACCCAACAGAGGCCACTGGGGACTTTTACATCTACTCCAGCACTCCGGTTCAGATACTGCTGCTTCTCCCTCAGTTTTCTTGTTTTTGTTCTTGTTTTCGATACCGAGTCTCGCTCTGTTGCCAGGCTGGAGTGCAGTGGTGTGATCTCGGCTCACTGCAACCTCTTCCTCTTGAGTTCAAGCAATTCTCCTGCCTCAGCCTGCCGAGTAGCTGGGAGTACAGGTGCACGCCACCATGCTCAGCTAATTTTTGTATTTTTAGTAGAGATGGGGTTTCACCATTTTGGCCAGGATCAGCTCGATCTCTTGACCTCGTAATCCACCCACCTTGGCCTCTGAAACTGCTGGGATTATAGGCGTGAGCCACCCACGCCCTGCCTCTCCCACAGTTTTTCAACACCCACAGGCCTGGAGATTCCTGGGCTGAAAGTGCCATGAATTTCCAGCACAGCTGTTTCAGCTGGCACCCCGGGTTTCTGCACAAAAACTCACACAAATCTGGGCAGCCACTTCAACTGGTGCCTGGAACGCCTGGGAGACAGAGCCACCCATTCAAATGAAAAAGAGGGGGCTGAAACAGGGAGCCAGGTGATCTGGCTTGGCGGGTCCCACCCCAACAAAGACCAGCAATTTGAAATGCTCTGGATTTGGAGTTTCACAGCAAGTGCAGCTGGACCGGGATGGTCCAGCTCTGTAGGGGGAAGGGCATCCACCACCACTGAGGCAGCCTGCCACTACCGACGCAGCCTGCCACTACCGAGGCTGCCTGCCATTAGCGAGGCAGCCCACCGTTACCGAGGCAGTCTGCCATTACTGAGGCAGTTCTAACCATACCTCTGTAAACAAAACTGCAAGGAAGCTTATACAGCATCTGGGCAGACCCTGCCACAGCTCAGCAACGCCTCTGCTGACAGACTGCAACTAGACTACCTCCTTGCTGGGCAGGGCATTTCTGAAAAAAGGCAGCAGAGCAGCATGTCAGGAACTTATAAATAAAGCCCCCAATTCCCAGGACAGAGCACCTGGGAAAAGAGGCAGTCATGAGTTCCGCTGCAGCAGACTTAAATGTACCTGCCCAGCAGCTCTGAATGGAACAACAGAGCTCCCAGTACAGCATTTGAGCCCTGATAAGAGACAGACTATCTCCTCAAGTGGCTCCCCAACCTCTGTAGATCAAAAGAGGCACCTCATAAAGGAGAGGTCTCGCTGACACCTGGTGGATACCCTTCTGGGACAAAGATAACAGAAGCAGAAACTGGCAGCAACTCTTACTGTTTGTTCTCAGCCCCAGGGGATATTCCCAGGCAAGCAGGGTCTGGAGTGAACCTCCAGCAGTCCTGCAGCAGAGAAACCTGTTAGAAGGAAAACTAAAAAACAGAAAGAAATAGCTTCAACATCAACAAAAAGGACGTCCACTCAGAGACCCCATCTGAAAATCACCAACTACAAAGACCACATGGGAAAAAAACCAGCACAAAAAGGATGAAAACACCAAAAACCAGAACATCTCTCCTCCTCCAAGGGATCACAACTCCTCAGCAGCAAGGGAACAAAGCTGGATGGTAAATGAGTCTGATGAATTCACAGAAGTAGGCTCCAGAAGGTGGGTAATAACAAACTTTTCTGAGCTAAAAGAACATGTTCTAACCCAATGCAAAGAAACTAGGAACCTTGAAAAAAGGTTAGATGAAATGCTAACTAGAATAACCAACTTAGAAAAGAACATAAACGACTTAAAAGGGAGGCTGAGATTGCAGTGAGCCGAGATCGTGCCACTGCACTCCAGCCTGGGCGACAGAGCTAGACTCTGTTTTGGGGGGGAAAAAAAGTTTGATTACTTTTAAAAAGGTCATTAGAAATTTTTTGGAATAAAACTCTCCAGGCTAACAGATGATTCAACAAATGTTTATAATTTTGACCTAAATAAAATGCAAGGCCGGGCGCGGTGGCTCAAGCCTGTAATCCCAGCACTTTGGGAGGCCGAGGCGGGTGGATCACAAGGTCAAGAGATCGAGACCATCCTGGTCAACATGGTGAAACCCCGTCTCTACTAAAAAAAATACAAAAAATTAGCTGGGCATGGTAGTGCGTGCCTGTAATCCCAGCTACTCAGGAGGCTGAGGCAGGAGAATTGCCTGAACCCAGGAGGCGGAGGTTGCGGTGAGCCGAGATCGCGCCATTGCACTCCAGCCTGGGTAACAAGAGCGAAACTCCGTCTCAAAAATAAAATAAAATAAAATAAAAATAAATAAATAAATAAATAAAATGCAAATTAAAAAAAATTCTTTTAAAGTAGACAAGTAAAATCAGTCACATAACTATAGCCTATATGGCATAAAATCTGGGAACAGTTAAAAAATTTTACCAATTTTGCTGCCCCTTCACCAATTTTTCATTTTTTAACAAATGAAGAAAACAGATGGAGTCTCAATATGTTGGCCAGGCTGAACTCAAGCTCCTGGCCTCAATAAATCTTCCTTCCTTGGCATCCCAAAGTGCTGGGATTACAGGCACAAGCCACCATGCCTGGCCCATATTCTATTTAATCTTTGAAACAACTGTGTTAAGTGCAGCACTATTATCTGCCACTAGGTATGGGCTTAGGGCACCAGCAAAACTAGGTCACCCTAATTTTTCAAGAGCAAATGGTTATCTAGCCAGGCACGATGGGACACACCTGTAATCAAGCACTTTAGGAGGCCAAAGTGGGCAGATCACTTTAAGTCAGGAGTTCAAGATCAGCCTGGCCAACATGGTGAAACCCCGTGTCTCTCTCTTTTTTTTTTACCTTGAGACGGAGCCTTACTCTGTTGCCCAGGCTGGAGTGCAGTGGCATGATCTTGGCTCACTGCAACCTCCACCTCCTGGGTTCAAGCGATTCTCCTGCCTCAGCCTCCCCAATAGCAGGATTATAGGCACCCAAAACTATGCCCAGGTAATTTTCGTATTTTTAGTAGATGTAGGGTTTCATCATGTTGGCCAGGATGGTCTCCATCTCTTGACCTTGTGATCCACCTGCCTCAGCCTCCCAAAGTGCTGAGATTACAGGTGTGAGCCACTACACTCAGCAAAACCCCATCTCTATTAAAAATATAAAAATTAGCCAGGCATGGTGGTAGGCATCTATAATGTAATCTACTTGGGAGGCTAAAAGAGAATTGCTTGAACCCAGGAGGCAGAGGTTGCAGTGAGCCGAAATGACGTCACTGCACTCTAGCCTGGGTGACAGGAACGACACCCATCTCAAAGAAAAAAAAAGGTGGGGGGGGAGAAAAAGGAAAAAAAGAAAATGGCTATCCGATATCTTCTTAAGAAAGACTATCAGAGTATTACAGCCAACACAGGAAGAAGCACAACTTTTTGTATATTACATTTAATACTGTTTTCGTTTAAAATTACACACTGGGGAGTGCTTTGCATTACTCAGAGCATCTAAAACTCTAAAACTCTTCCCTTGGCTCTGGAGAAAGAAGTTATGATTCTCATTTTGCAGAACAAACCAAGTCTTGGAGAGTTTAGTTACTAGATCAAGCTGCACAGCTAGTTAGCAGCAGAGCCCATTATGATGGTATTCAATGTTTATGATAACTTATATTTATGATGGTACTCATCAGTTTTTTTTTTTTTTTCTTTTTTTGGAGACAGAGTCTTGCTCTGTTGCCCAGGCTGCAATGCGTTGGTGCTATTTCAGCTCACTATGGCAACCACCTCCCAGGTTGAAGCGATTCTTATGCCTCAGCCTACTGAATAGCTGGGATTACAGGCACGTGTCACCACGGCTGGCTAATTTTTGTATTTTTAGTAGAGGTGAGGTTTTGCCATGTTGGCCAGGCTGGTCTCAAACTCCCGGCCTCAAGTGAGCTGCCTGCCTTGGCCTCCCATGCTGGCATCACAGGCGTGAGCCACTGCGCCCAGCCTAATGGTTAAGTGTTTTAATCAAATAAAGCATACAACAAAGTTAACCTAAATATTCTTTGGGGTATCTCCACACATCTTTTATTTTTTTTCTGTGAGTGACTGAAAGCTTGAATGATACGGAATCATCAGCCCACCTAAGTGATTCAGCTTTGTGTTTCTTTTTGGGTCAACCAAGGTAAAGTAAGAAGGAACTCAAGCAAGCCAAGAAACTACTGTCATACCCTTCTGTAGTTGGCTGTATTCACCAGATAGGGGGTCCCCAAGTGTCTTCCATTTTCGATGCTTAGCATGGTTCTCATTTTAGAAGCTGAGGTCCCAGACCCCTTTCTGCTTATACAAGGGATGGCAGGCAACAGAGTGTTTAAGGAAATTTTTTCTGTGAGTCATTTCATTCCTATTTCTTGAGAACTGTACTATCTCACACTGATAATAAAGGGGATGACAGAAAGGTTAGATAGAAATATGTTCTCCCAACATGCAAAGTGAGGAAATGAATCTTACTTTACCTCTGTCTCCATTATCCTATGCCAGAGGGCCTAAAACATTCATGTGCACGCACACAAAAAAAACATCCGGGGAACTATTTTAAAATTCACCTTTCTGAGCCTTGTCCCCAGAGTCCCTGATTTGCAGGCATGAGTGGACCTAGGAATCTGCATCCCAGATGACTCGAACACTATTCACCATGCTGTAAGAAACACCATTCTTACACAAACTTCATGAGTAGGTTTAAAAAACCCAAATTGCAATTAAGCTTTTGTTTTTGTCATCCTTACCACAGCCCAGGCAATTGTCCTATTACTTGGTTGGCCAATTTCTTTTTTTTTGTTGCCCAGGCTGAAATGCAGTAGAGTGACCTCAGCTCACTGCAGCCTCTGTCTCCCAAGCTCAAGTGACCCTTCCACCTCGGCCTCCTGAGTAGCTGGGCCCACAGGCACATGCTACCACGCCCAGCTAATTTTTAAATATTTTTGGGGGTTACGGTGTCTTGCTATGTTGTCCAGGCTTCTCTTGAACTTGTGAGCTCAAACCATCTGTCCGCCTTAGCCTCCCCAAGTGTTGAGATTACAGGCGTGAGCCACCGTGCCCAGCCTAAATTTGCCCTTTTCTACAAAACACTGACAACTCCTAACCTGAATAGCACTGTAGGGTCTAAGCTTAAATTGTCTGCCCAAAGCAGTTTACACCAAAGTTGGAATTAGGCTTAAATCCTCTTTCATGGCACTTGGATTTAAAAAATAAATAAATAAATAAATATATCTTAAGTATTAGAATATCTCTATTACACTACTTTTGTTTCTCGTTTGGAGAATTAGCATGGCAGTGTCGTCTAATTCGATAGCTGGAGAAGTCACATCCACTTTTCTCATGGGCCTGTTAAAGCCCTCTCATTCATTCTTGACTCATCCTGTGTCTTTGGGAAGCCTTTCTGGGTAAACCTATCCACAAGATCCTTTATGTCACTACCAGCCCTTGCACACGTTTCAATTATAGCACCTACAATCTTGTACCACAATTGCCTAATTTATTTTTGTATCTCCAGCTCTACTAACAGTGCCTGGCAAACAGCAGGCACTCAATAACTGGGGGATGAATGAGTCCATGGCAAGAGACTAGGCCAGGAGTTTTAAAAATCAATGCTGACTAAGAAACGAAATACGGCAATGTCAAAGGCTGGAACAAAAATAATTCCTAAGAGCACATAATCCTCCTGAAAGGAACACAGGTTAGGCAGGTGTCGCAGCCCAGCAGTGATGAGGGGTCGGTGGTGTTTTTGTTGTTAAGAAACATGCCGGCAGGCCGGGCGCTGTGGCTCACGCCTGTAATCCTAGCACTTTGGGAAGCCAAGGTGGATGGATCACCTGAGGTCAGGAGTTCAAGACCAGCCTGGCCATCATGGTGAAACTCCAGCTTTAAAAAAAAAAAAAAAGAAACATGCCAGCTCTCTCCTCCCCACAACACCTCCAGAGCCTGGCCTGTGAGGTTCCCACTTCGGCATGCGCCCCACCCACGGCTCCTCTCCGCAGCCTGCTGCTTGTCCTCACCTGAACCACCGCTTCATGTAGCCAGGCCAAGGAGGCGAGTTCATATCCTCCAATGAGGGCTTAGGAGGCCTTTCTTGGCCAATCAGTAGCCAGGCACTGCAGTGGGACTCGGCATCCACACCAACAGAGGGACTGCCTGGCGATCCCTTAGGGTGCTTGTTTTACGCAAGGCTTAGAGGTCAAAAATAAGGGGACACAATCCTCACAGAATGGGAAGGAGCTGCACAGGCTCCCTGGGTTTGGCCATTTTCTAAGACAAACCAACCACTTTTAAGATGTCTCTCCGCCTCGTGCGTGTTCGTCTCAAAAAAGCCAGTGTGACTGACTTGGAAATTGGCTCAGTGACTGAGGGTCTGCACCATGATTTGGACAAATAAGAAAAGGCAATCACTGGGGCCCAAGCTTTTCGAGAAGGAGTGCACATGGGCACGATGTTTCATTTTTATCTACTGGTACAATCATGTTCAAGTGAACCAAATATTTTTATGTATACCACAGACAATAAATCATCTGAGCGGGCATGGTGGCTCATGGCTGTAATCCCAGCACTTTGGGAAGCTGAGGCAGCGGATCATGAGGTCGAGATCGAGATCATCCTGGCCAACATGGTGAAACCCTGACTCTACTAAAAATACAAAAACTTAGCTGGGCGTGGTAGCATGTCCCTGTAGTCCCAGCTATGCAGGAGAATTGCTTGAACCCGGGAGGCAGAGGTTGCAGTAAGCCAAGATTGTGCCACTGCACTCCAGCCTGGCAACAGAGCAAGACTCTGTCTCAAAAAAAAAAAAAAAGAGTCATCTGGTTTGTGCTCCCAAAACGTTTTACCTTGAGTTGTGAGCTGCCCTTCTTGAGCTTGTACACAACGAAGTTCTTCAATGGTTTCCTTCAGAGAATCCCTTTCTGTTCTCAGTCTCTGGAGAGAGACAGAAACATGGAGGGTTAGCTTCATGTTTTAAGAATTTATTCATCAGTGGCCTCTCTGCCTTACCTAATGGAATGATAAACAATAGTATATAACTCAATCAAGACAGTAAAAAAAGCAACAGTGAACATGAACATGTTTTACCTTTTGCTCTTCTTTGGAAAGATCACAGGAGGAAAAGATTAAAACAAGTCTTCCCATTTAACAATACTGAATATCTGCTATGTGCAAGACAATATGCTATCCACAGTTAAACTTAAGAAACAAACTGTCTACTCCATCTTTAACAATTAGTAACTAATTTCTTAACATTCTTTTCACTAGACATAAAAGGCTGAAGAACAAAGACAATATTCATAAATCATGAAAAAGTAGAAATATTTTTAAAAGATTCAAAATATGCTGAACAACAAAAAGTCCTCTATACATACAGGACTTTCTTGTTTTCATACAGAAAACAAAGCTTAACAAACTTACAGAAAGTCAGGAGCAGGAAAAAAAAAGTCAAGAGTAGAACAATGAAAAGAAGGCAATAGTCGTAGAAACGATAACCATATAAAAAAGAAATCTGAATGAAAGTATTATAAAAATATTCCTTTCTTTTTTTGCTTTATTTCTGAAACACAAAGGGAATTCTCCTATGGCTTAAAAACAAATAGGATTTCTAATTTTTTAATTCATAATTAATTAATGTGGCCAAACATAATCGCCTTAATTTTAGCAGTACTCAAAACCAAAATGTCTAATACATATACTCACATCCTTTTCTTTTTGAAGACTGTCAACTTTTTCTTTCAGCCGTTTATATTCAAAATCTAGTTTATCTGCTTTCTTTGATTCTTCGGATAATCTATTTTGCAGTTCTACTACCTAACACAGAAAGATACCATTACTTATACATAATCTGAAACATTAGAAATTATCCTTATTTTCTTCTACAGGTCTAAGAAAACAAAACCCATTCCCACCAGTACTCAAATGCATATGATCCAGCAGCCTAACCCAATGTAGTGAACTAGGAATAAAATCCTGCCCAGTTACTACGGGTTCCCAACCAGAATCATCCACAGTAACAATGTTCAAAATCATAAAAGAATCTATAAGATTTTCATTTCTGGCAATACAGATAACTGGGTAGTCTGAAATTCTTTTTGTATGAAACAAAATAAATGCTGGGGTGAGGGTGGGGCAGGGAGAATCCAATTGCATAGCTAAGCTTACAAGAAAATAAGGGAAATACTCAGAGGTTAAAACCAGAATGAGAAGTTCATGTAGACAATCTGGGTACCATGAGGTGCCAACTGCCAATAACAGGAACCTAGAGCTTTAACAGGAGATGAGTAGTTGTTAAACCACCTTAGGCCCTAAAAGGTAGCAAATAGGTGGATTAGAAAAAAAAATTTCATCAGCTGGAACAATAAACTGAGTGCTTTGGGTTTAAAAAAAGTATAACTTGGGGCTAAATGCAGTGGCTCACGCCTATAATCCCAGTACTTTGGGAGGCTGAGGTGGGAGGATGGCTTGAACCCAGAATCTGAGATCAGACTAGGCAACATAGTGAAACGCCATCTCTATAATTTAAAAATTAGGTGGGTGTGGTGGCACATGTCTGTGGTTCCAGGTACTTAGAAGGCTGAGGTGGGAGGATCACTTGAGCCCAGGAGTTCAAGATTGTAGTGAGCTATGATCATACCATTGCACCCCAGCCTGGAAAACAGAGTGAGATCCTGACTTTAAAAAAAAGTAATAATGAAAGAAAAAAGGGAACCTGGGAGTTTGTAACCCATAGCCTGTTAATAATAACATGGACTTATGTTTGAATTTTTACTACTTGCATTGTTTGGGAAAACCTAAGCCAAGCAATTAGAGGGGTATTAGTTGGTAACACTGTGGAAAATCTGCCGTAAATGAACACACATATTGACTGCAGAAACAAAACCTCAACCCATGAGCCTCAGAATTCCCCAAGGTAAAGATGAGATAATGAAAGAGCAAAATCCAAAATTATAAAGGCCATAAAGAAATATGCCACAATGAACAAGGCTGTGGAAAACATTAACAGCAGTAACAACCAAAAAATAATAGAATAAGATCTCCAAGGATTTCATATTGTAATTATCAGATGCAAAATATACATACTTAAAAATATAAAGAGGGCCGGGCGCGGTGGCTCAAGCCTGTAATCCCAGCACTTTGGGAGGCCGAGGTGGGTGGATCACGAGGTCAAGAGATCAAGACCATCCTAGTCAACATGGTGAAACCCCGTCTCTACTAAAAATACAAAAAAATTAGCTGGGCATGGTGGCGCGTGCCTGTAATCCCAGCTACTCAGGAGGCTGAGGCAGGAGAATTGCCTGAACCTAGGAGGCGGAGGTTGCGGTGAGCCGAGATTGCGCGATTGCACTCCAGCCTGGGTAACAAGAGCGAAACTTCGTCTCAAAATATATATATACTATATATATAGTATATATATACAATATATATAGTATATATATAAAATATATTTTATATATATACAATATATATAGTATACATAAAATATATTATATATATACAATATATATAGTATATATATAAAATATATATAGTATATATAAAATATATTATATATATATAATATATATAGTATATATATAAAATATATTATATATATATAAAATATATATAGTATATATATAAAATATATATATATATATATATATATATATATATATAAAGAGGAAATCTAATTTGAAAATGGAGTAAGAGGCCAGTCACGGTAGCTCACGCTTGTAATCCTAACACTTTGGGAGGCCGCGGAGGGGAGATTGCTTGAGCTCAGAAGTTCAAGATCAACCTGGGGGCAACATGTTGAAACACTGTATCTACAAAAATACAAAAAATTAGCTGGGTAAGGTGGTGCACTCCAGTAATCCCAGCTACTCAGGAGACTGTGGCAGGAGAATTGCTTGAACCCAGGAGGCTGAGGTTGCAGTGAGCTGAGGCTGCGCCAGTGCACTCCAACATGAGCCACAGAGCGAGGCACTGTCTCAAAAAATAAATAAATAGGCCAGATGCAGTGGCTCACGTCTATAATCCCAGCACTTTGGGAGGCCGAGGCAGGCAGATCATGAGATCAGGAGTTCACAACCAGCCTGATCAACATGGTGAAACCCTGCCTCTACTAAATTGGCTTAGGCAATGGTGGGATGTACCTGTATTAAAAAAATTAGCTGGGCATGGTGGCATGTGCCTGTATTCCCAGCTACTCAGGAGGCTGAGGCAGGAGAATCAATCGCTTGAACCTGGGAGGTGGACGTTGCAGTCAGCCAAGATTGCGCCACTGCACTCCAGCCTGGGCGACAGAGTGAGACTCCATCTCTAAATAAATAAATAAATAAATATCAAAAAGAAGTAAGAGACCATCAAAAATAACCAGGGAGATCTGAAAAAGCACACAAAGAGGGCTTATAGATGAAATATTATCATTTAAAAAAAATAAAGCAGCTGGGTACAGTGGCTCATGTATATAATCCCAGTACTTTGAAAGGCCAACCCAGGCAAATCACAAGGTCAGGAGTTCAAGACAATCCTGGCTGATATCGTGAAACCACATCTCTACTAAAAATGGAAAAATTAGCCAGGCATGCTGGCATGCACCTGTAGTCCCAGCTACTCGAGAGGCTGAGGCAGAAGAATCGCTTGAACCCAGGAGATGGAGGTTGCAATGAGTCGAGATCATGCCACTGCACTTCAGCCTGGGTGACAAAGCGAGACTGTCTATAAATAAATAAATAAATAAATAAATAAATAAAACACAGTAAGCATTAAATCAGAAACAAGTAGAGAGAATTAGTGTATTAAGTAGTTTCATTGTAGTATCTCTAGGTATAGATTGCTTTTTTTTTTTGAGATGGAGTCTCACTCTTGTTGCCCAGGCTGGATGGAGTGTATTAGTGTGGTCTCGGCTCACTGCAACCCGCCTTCTTAGTTCAAACAATTCTCCTGCCTCAGCCTCCCAAGTAGCTGGGATTACAGGCACTTGTCACCACACCTGGCTAATTTTTATATTTTTAGTAGAGATGGGTTTTCACCATGTTGGCCAAGCTGGTCTTGAACTCCTGACCTCAGGTGATCTGCCTGCCTCAGCCTCCCAAAGTGCTGGGATTACACAAGTGAGCCGCCACACCTGGCCAATTTCTTTTTAATTCTAAATCTGATATCCCTTTATTAGTTCTGAAAAATGTTCAGCCATTTATTCCTTCAAATAATGTCTTTCTTCAATTTTGTTCTCTCCTCTGGAACTCTAATTAGATTATGTCTCATATTAAAATTTATATTCTATACATTTTAACATTATGTATAGTTTATCTGGCCTATATTTATTCTTTTTTTTTTCTTTTTTTTGACTTGGAGTTTTGCTCTTGTTGCCCAGGCTGGAGTGCAGTGGCATGATCTTGGCTCACTGCAACCTTCACCTCCCAGATTAAAGCAATTCTCCTGCCTCAGCCTCCCAAGTAGCTGGCATTACAAGTGCATGCCACCACTCCCAGCTAATTTTTTGTATTTAGTAGAGATGAGGTTTCACCATGTTGGTCAGGCTGGTCTCTAACTCCTGACTTCAGGTGATCCACCTGCTTCAGCCTCCCAAAGTGCTGAAATTACGGGCATGAAACCCTATCTCTACTAAAAAGTAGCTGGGCATGGTAGCACATGCCTGTAGTTGCAGCTACTCAGGTAGCTGAAGCAGAGAATCGCTTGAACATGGGAGGTGGAAGTTGCAGTGAGCCAAGATCGCACCACTGTACTCCAGCCTGGGAACAGAGGGAAACACTGTCTCAAAAACAACAACAACAACAACAAAAAACATATAGCAATATTAGTAACATTAATTGGCAAAACAAAATGTTCTGTATATAATCAACACGGAATGCTTTCCCACCATTATTGTTTTTTACTCCAAGTTGAATTGAAGGCCAGGTATGCTAATTAAAAAGATAAAAAGGATATGGAGTAGGAAGAATGGAGTAGGAAGAAAGAGAGAAATTAGGCTGGGTGCAGTGGCTCACACCTGCAATCCCAGCACTGTGGAAGGCTGAGGGAGGAGGATGTATTGAGCCCAGGTGTTTGAGACCAGCCTCGTCAACATGGCGAAACCCATCTCTACAAAAAATACAAAACTGGCCAGATGCAGTGGCTCATGCCTCTAATCCCAGAACTTTGGGAGGCCGAGGCTGGTGGATCATGAGGTCAGGAGTTCAAGACCAGCCTAGCCAATATGGTGAAACCCTGTCTCTACTAAAAATACAAAAATTAGCCAGGTGTGGTGGCACACATCTGTAGTCCCAGCTACTTGGGAGGCTGAGACAAGAGAATCACTTGAACCTGGGAGGTGGAGGTTGCCGTGAGCCAAGACTGCACCACTGCACTTCAGCCTGGGCTACAGAGCAAGACTCTGTATCAAAAAAAAAAAAAAAAATTAGCTGGGTGTGGTGACACACACTTGTGATCCTGGCTACCTGTGAGGCTGAGGTGGGAGAATCACTTAAGCCTGGGGAGACTGAGGCTGCAGTGAGCCATGACCGCATCACTGCACTCTTGTCTAGGTGACAGAGTGAAACCCTGTCTTGGGGGAAAAAAAAAGAAACAAACTGCTTTTATTTGTTTACTATATCCCTCTGAGAAGAGAAATCTACAGACATTATCAGAAGCAATATGAGAATTTGGCAAGGTTGCAGAATCAACATATAAAAGTTAATTTCATTCATATAAGTTAGCAATAAAGTAAAAATGGTATTTTTATCTAACTGCATTTGAAAAACAACCCAAAACACAAAGTACCTAAGAGTAAGAATAATGAAATATGCACAAAATCTTTAGAAGAACATTATAAAACTTAACTCAAAGAAATGGAAGACCATGGAAAGGTATCATGTTGAGACAGGAACAACTCTCCCCAAATTGATCAACAGAGTCAATGTAATTCCAATTCCCAAGAGTTTGGAGTTTAAAGGAAAAGCAAAGGGCTGAGAATAGACAATTCTGGAAAAGGACAAAGTATGAAAGTCTGCACTACCACCTAATACAATTGCGAAAAATTACTAAAACATGAATGTGGTATTGGTGTAGGAACAGGTAAGTATACTAACGGAACAGAAGAAAGTGTCCAGAAATAAATCCATATGTGACATGGACACTTTAGATATACAAGGTAGAACTGCAGGTCATTGTGGAAGAATGGACTGTTAATTAATGGCAGTAGGTTGACTGCTTACCCACACAGACAAAGAGTATCAAAGGGACCCCTACCTCACACCCTACATAAAAATTAATTCCAGGTGGATTAAAGACCTAAATGTGCAAAACAAACTTTAAAGCTTTGTAAAGAAAATAGAGATTAGACTTATAGCCTTATTTAGGAAATAATTTCTTAAACAAAACATAAAAACTACAAATCATTTTTTAAAAGTACTTGAAGTTCATTACACTGAAATTATCAACTTCAAAAAAGTAAAAGGACAGGTCACAGAACCATAGAAGATTAAATAAAAATATGTGTAAGTGATAAAGAATATCTAGAACATATAAACAACCCTTAGAAATCAGTTAAAAAAAAAGATTCAATTTTTTAAATAGGTAAAAGATTAAAATAAGAAATTTACAAAAGAAATATAGTCAGTAAATATATTTGTAATCAGGGTAACACAAAGTATAATTAAAAGGAGACATTATTTTACACCCATCTAATTGGCAAATTTTACTTATTTCTTCTTTACTCAAGACAAAGTCTTGCATGTCCTGTGTTGCCAGTAAAGTTACATGTGGCACAAAAGCAAAGCTGGAGTGCAGTGGTGCAATCAGTTCACTGTAGCCTCTGAGGCCTAGGCCCAAGCGATCCTTCAACCTCAGCCTCCTGAGTAGCTGGGACAACAGGTTCATGCCACCATGCCTAGATAACTTAAAATTAGTTTTAGAGATCAGGTCTTGCTATGTTTCCCAGGCTGGTCTGGAACTCCTGGGCTCAAGTCATTCTCCTGCCTCAGCCTCCCAAAGTGTTGGAATTACAGGCATAAGACACTATGCCAGGCCAGCAAAATTTAAAGTTTGCCAATACTGTGTGTTGGTGATAACGTGGAGTGACAGGAATATAAACTGCTCGTTGGTAACACAATAACATTAAGGAACAATCTGCTAATATCTAACTACATTGAAGATACTCTTAGAAATTCCATCAAGTTGTAAAACCTTCACACAGGTATAGGAGAGGACCTGTACAATACTATTTATATGGCATTTCTTTTTTTTTTTTGAGACAGAGTCTTGCTGTGTTGCCCAGGCTGGAGTGCAGTGGCACAATCCTGGCTCACTGCAACCTCTGCCTCCCAGGTTCAAGCAATTCTCTTGCCTCAGCCTCCCGAGTAGCTAGGACTACAGGTGCCTGCCACCATGCCCAGCTAATTTTTTGTATTTTTAGGAGAGATGGGGTTTCACCTTGTTTGCCAGGATGGTCTTGATCTCCTGACCTCGTGATTTGCCCACCTCGGCCTCCCAAAGTGCTGGGATTACAGGCGTGAGCCACCGTGCCCAGCCAGCATTTCTTTTAACACAGAAAAAGAGCTAAAACATCCTGTATGTCTCTTAACAGGAAAATGGATAAGTCTTGGTGCAGAGACTCACTGGGATACTATACAGCAGGAGAAATGAATGTTATAAAGCTACACCTATTTTAATAAACAAATCTCACTGAGCAAAAGAAAGAAAATTACAGAAGAGTGCTTTCACTATATCGTTTATGTAAAGTTTTGGAACATGTCAAAATGCTAAAAATTCTTAGGGATAAATATATATATATATATTTATGTATGTAGCAAAAGTGTAGAGAGACGAATGGGAATGAAAACTGCAGCATGGAGGCTGCCTGTAATGAGGAAGGGGAGAGCATGTTCTATTCAAGCATGAATATTTATTGAACTATGCTTTTACATTTACGTATTTCTTAAGTATTACGTAATAAATTAATAAATAAAAATAAGTTAAAGCACCTGCTATAGAGGGTTTAAAGCCCTTTAAATATAGGATAAATATAAATAAATACAATAGGCTGGGCATGGTGGCTCACAGTGGCTCACGCCTGTAATCCTAGAACTCTTGAAGGCCAAAGTGGGTGGATCAATTGAGCTTGGGAGTTCGAGACCAGCCTGGGCAACACTGTGAAACACCGTCAATACCAAAATACAAAAAATTACCCAGGTGTGGCAGCATGCACCTGTAGACCCAGCTACTAGGGAGGCTGAGGCAGGAGAATTGCTTGAACCCAGGAGGTGGAGGTTGCAGTGAGCTGAGATCATGCCACTGCACTCCAAGCTGGGTGACAGAGTTAGACTCTGTCTTATAAATGAATAAATACAATAAAGAAAAGGTAAAAAACAGAATGCCATGAAAACAAGTCAGTAAATTTTTGTAAGCTACATGTTATAATGAAGAGCTTGCCTGAAACCATCATCAAGACGCTGTGTTTCTTTTACCTGTCTCTTGTAGGTTTCAAGTTGACTTCGCGCTGCGTTGGCCTTTCTTAACTCTTCCTCTAGACTGACAGTGTTCTGCATATACATGGTATTCTTTTCTTCTAAGAGTTTAACCTGCCGCCTTAAATCACCAAGATCTTCTAGCTTCTTTTTATAAGATTCTACTTGACCTTCTAGTTTAGACACTTTATCAGAAGAATGTCTAGAATTAGATGGGAAATTTAAAAATCAGAAATACATCCACACTTGTAAAGTTGTTTCAGTGTTAAAACAAGAGGGATAGCCAGGAAGGGGAAAGCAGAAAACACATATCTAATGAAATTATAAGACAAAAGTGACTCCAGGCTAATGCTCTGCACAGGTTAAAAAATATGACCTAAATTACAACTAAATGTGTAATGGAGAGTAATAATTTAAGAAAACCAAGCAGGAGAGGGAAGCCAGCAGAGTCACATGTGGCAAAAAAGAAAAGTAAGTTTTCCAGTGTCCAAATAATTTGGCAATTATCAATGACCACCAGAATGGCAGGTTCAGTGGGGCAGTGCAGGCAGACAGTGGGGTTGAGGGGAGAATATAAATGTTACCTTATGTAATCTAAGTTTGGTTCTGGAGGGAAGGAGAGAAGTAACTCCCTCTCTTTTTAAGAGTAAAGAGACCTAAATGTGCGTGTACACATGTACAAAGGAGAGAGATCCAAAAGGCAAAAGAAATGAGGACTGATGTAACACAGTCCCTGCGTAGGCAAGAAGGGTGGAGGTCCAGAGCACTGAAGAAGGAATTAGCCCTGAACAGGGGGAGGAATAACAGGTTTGCACTCTCTAAGCAAAAAAGGAAGGATGGCAGGAATGCAGGGAAGTTTAGTGGTACAGGAGACAAAAGACATGGAGAGTTCAGCAGTTCATGGCCTCCTTCTTCCCTGCTACAGGAGACAGACATCTATTGAGACTAAGGCATGGGAGGTGTGCAGGGAAAGCAGCCAGGGGAGTAGAATCCTGAAGAATCATAATAGTTGTGAGTGAGACAATAAGCAGGAGGAGGGCAGGCCATTGGGAAGAACCCTGCTCAGAAGGAAGCCACCAATTGGCAGTAGCACAAAACTATCAATTATGCATTTCCCTTGTTTTTCTCGGTATTTAAAGAGCAAAAGTGGAAAAGTGTAGATGGTTGAGATAATCAACAGATATGAGATTCCACAAGGAGAGGAGTGAAAAAATGAGGTGGCAGGGAGTGAGGCACCTCATGAGAGAACTGAAGGGATGACAACAAGGCCCAGCAAGAAAACAAGGCCTTGCGGGCATGGTGGAAGAACAGCTCTAGAGCTGTACAAGTAAGAAGAGATGGTCAGAATTTCTGTTTTACAAACATGTATGCATCACTTAATTGCCAGACACTGTTGCAAGTGTTCACAAATATAAATTCACTCAACTCCTTATATAAACCTGAGGTAGGCATGTGTATTGTTTCCATTTTGCAGATGAGAAAATGATCAAAGAGAGGTTGCATAAATAGACCCAGGATCTCAGACTGAGTAGCCTGGCTCTTAATCTTGCTAAATGCTCAGAAACCCTAGAGTTTTTAACACCAGAGCCGAACTGTGCTGGGCAGTGAAGGTAGAGGTGAAGGTGAGGCTGTTTACCTCAGCACGTCGATCTCATCTTTCAGAGACTGAGCTTCATCTGCCAAAGTGGTCAGTTCATCATTCTGTTGCCGAAGTTCAGAGATCTCCTTTTCTAACTCTTCACAACGTATTCGATAATCATCTTTGGCTGCTTCTAGTCTGTAACCAATACAAAATAGACCAAGAAAGCACTATTTAGTGCTTCCTCATCCTCCTTAGAACAGTAAAAGAAAAATGTAAAGTATGAGAATAAAGCCTTCTTGAATATGTCTCCCACATTTGTGGCCATAAGCTGCCTTCTCTAGTCTTAACTGTCATAAAAACGGACTCCACTATCCCAAGGATTGGGAACGGTGACAAATGGATACTTATTTCCCTACCAGAAAGCAAGACAGCATGCAATATTTTTTTCAAAATACTGCGGATATAATTTATCTAAAGTTTTTTATAAATTATAAAATTAACATATATGGCCCAGCACAGTAGCTTACAGTAATAAACCCATTTCATTAATATAAACAAATACTCTTGAAGAAAGATAACTATTTTCTAAAACAAAAAAGCGTGAAGAGTGGTACTGTTTTACATTTTTGTGATTCTATTATCTGTTTTAATAGAAGACAGCTGGGTTCTCATATTTGTTTCTACATTCATCTGTTGATGACATGTTGTTTTTGGCTGAAGTATATGAAGAAAATCCAGCCCTGCAGACACAGAGATGGAAAAGAGAGGGTCTTGCAGATTCCCCAAAATGGTTTCAGAGGACCTCAAGGGGCCTCAACCATTCTTTGAACTGCTGATATGAACCACAGGGAATGGACTGTTGCTAAGGAGCCTAAGAAAAGTTTCGTACTTTTTCCTGTTAAGAAGAAAGAAAGAAAAAAATCCAGAAACATTTCACTGAGAAATAACAAGGACAGTAGGTATGTTACCATACTCAGTTATTCACTAAAGTAAAAAACTAAATGATGTTTTTAATTTCTCTTACTGCTTTAACACTAGAAATCTATGGCTAGGTAAGAAACAAGTCATGATATATACTTTTTTAGTATATCATGTAACTGTAACAAAGTATTTTCACCATATTCTTAAGTTTTTCAATTTTGTGCTTCTGTCTTATCTTGCAGGACACATTTTCTCTTTTCTTCTTTTCCTTTCACCACCCGAAGGCCAAAGGGCCCTTCTTCCTTCCTTTTGGCCTTTTTTTCCCCACAGAAGATATCTGGAATATTGTTCCTTTAAATTCTTGCCTATCCTTTTAAATCAGCTCACCCCTTTAAACAAGTCTATCTCTATAAACACACACACACACACACACACACACACACACACACACACACACACACACACAGAGAGAGAGAGAGAGAGAGACGTATACAAAGTTCTATTAATCTGTAAATGCATCTGTCTTTTAAAAATACCTGCCAGCAACTTTTCATGACATCTGGCCCCTCCCAAAGATGTGCTTACTTTAAAATCCCTAATATGTGGTTTTTTATGGTCTGCTCTGACCATTACTTTTCAAAAAAAAAAGTCATTCAGATTTTCAGTGAAATTTAATCTTTCTGGTGATCATGCCAACTCGCCTTCATGCCCCTTTATGAATGTTCTTCCTCTGTCTTTCTTGAATGTTTACTCAGTCACCTTTGTTTCCCTGTCGGGTGCAGGGCTGGTGTCTGATTTCTTTCTCCCGCTCTCAGTTATTCTGCAGTTGGGGCATTCTGTCTTCAAGTAATAACGAGGGTGGTGCTCTGATAGAACATTTCCCAGATGTGAAGTAGTTTTGTGTTGTATGAGGAGATTCTGCAAAGATGTTTATTATGCAACCTCACTGGTCTGCAGTTTCCCGGAAGTCCTAACACTATATTCTTTTTTTTTTTTTTTTTTTTTTTAGACAGAGTCTTGCTCTATTGCCGAGGTTGGGGTGCAATGGCACAATCCTGACTCACTGCAATATCCACACCCCTGGTTCAAGCAATTCTGGTGTCTCAGCCTCCCAAGTAGCTGGGATTATAGGCACCTGCCTTCACGCCTGGCTAATTTTCATATTTTTTGTAGAGATGGAGTTTCGTCATGTTAGCCAGGCTGGTTTAGAATCCCTGACCTCAGGTGATTTGCCTGCCTCAGCCTCCCAAAGGGCTGGGATTACAGGTGTGAGCCACTGTGCCCAGCAAATATATACTTAACTTTAAATGACAGCTAACAAATTTTTAAAAATCATTTTAATGAGTTGCCTTTTACCTGAATGTTTCTTCTTGTAGCTGTTCTAATTGAGTCTGGAGCTGCAAATGCCTTCTTCCTGCTGGACTATTAGGATCTTCTATAGAATCTGATTGATTGAGTCTTTCCATTAATACCTGATTCTCTGCCAACAAACTACTTTTCTCTTCCTGCAATGCTGCAACCTGTTGGAATACAGGACAATGGCAGTTATTTCCTCCAATTACACTGGCATCAAGCTCAATCACTTGTGGATTATTATTACCATTATAAATTAAAGCCTATTTTTAAAGAAGTAGAATAAATCTCCACTTAACACATTTATGTCATTTTGGAATACTGCACTTGCAGAACAAGATGTAAGAGGAACAATTCATTCATTTCATACTTGAAAAAATGACTCAACAGAGAAATATAGAGATGGCTAATAAGCATACAAATAATCATTAGTTATCAAGAAAATGCAAATTAAAATCACAATATTATATAACTACATTCCCACTAGAATAAATAAAATTAAAAAGACTGTACCAAGTGTTGGCAAAGAAACTTCTGGTGAGAATACAAAATGTTTCAAACACTTTGGAAAATAGTTTAGCAGTTTCTTAAAGAATTAAACATGCAACTACCACATGACTGATTTAGCCATCCTACTCCTAGCTATTTACTCAAGAGAAATAAAAGTATATGCCCACACAAAGACTTAGGAAGAATGTTTATAGCAGCTTCATTTGTAATAGAGAAAAACTGGAAACCACCCAAACGTTTGCCAACAAATGGATAAATGATTTGCAGTATATCCATATAGGTTGAAGATCCCAAATCCAAAAATCCAAACTCAGAAATGCTTCAAAATCTGAATGTTTCTGGGCACCCACATGACACTCAATAGAAATGCTCATCGGAGTTGTTTTAGCTTTTGGATTTGTGGATTTAGGACGTTCAACCACTAAGTATATAATGCGAATATCCCCAAATCCAAAAATATCCCCAATTTTAGATATGGAATACTCAACCTGTATTAAAGAATACTACTCAGAGATTAAAAATTTAATGATTTACAGCTACAACATAGATGATCTCAAAATAATGTAAGGAGTCAGACAAAAAAAGTCAATATATATGGCAGAACTCCTTTTTACACACAGACAAAAAGAATCAAATTTCAAAAACATAAACTGGCTGGCATGGTGGCTCATGCCTATAATCTTAGCATTTTGGGAGGCTGAGGGAGGAGGATTACTTGAGCTAGGAGTTGGAGAACAACCTGGGCAACACAGTGAGACACTGTCTCCACAAAAAATAAAAAATTAGCTAGGTGTGGTGGTAAATGACTGTGGTCCCCACTACTCAGGAGGTTGAGGCAGGAGGATCGCTCAAGTCCAGGAGGTCGAGGCTGCAGTTAGCCATAATCATACCACTGCACTCCATCCCAGATGACAGAGCAAGACCCTGTTTCAAAAAACAAAACAGGCCAGGTACAGTGGCTCATGCCTATAATCCCAGCACTTTGGGAGGCCAAGGTGGTAGAACTGCTTGGGGCCAGGAGTTTGAGACCAGCCTGGGTAGCATAACAAGACCCCATCTCTACCAAAAAAAAGTAAAAAAAAATAAAATTACCCAAGCCTGGTGGCACATGCCTGTGGCCCCAGCTATCTGGAAGGGTAAGGCTGTAGGATCACTTGAGCCCAGGAAGTAAACTGCAGCAAACTGTGATCATGCCACTGAACTTCAGCCTTAATGACAGAGCATGACTCTGTCTCAAAAAACAAAATGATGATCCAGGCATGGTGGCTCACACCTGTAATCCCAGTACTTTGGGAGGCAGAGGCAGGCAGATCACTGGAGCTCAGGAGTTCAAGACCAGCCTAGGCAACATGGTGCAACCCCAACTCTACAAAAAATAAAAAAATTAGCTGGGTGTGCTGGTGTGCACTTGTAGTCCCTGCTACTCAAAGGCTGAGGTGGGAGGATTGCTTTAGCTCAGGAGGTGGAGGTTGTAGTGAGCCAAGATTGCACCACTGCACTCGAGCCTGGGTGACAGAGTGAGACCCTGCCTCAAAAAAACAAAACAAACATAAACATGATTAATTTAAAAAAACAGCAAAGCAAAGGGGCTTATAGTGAAAAGCTATAGTTTCCTATGGAGTTTTCTCACTCTCCAGAGACTAGTTTTTACTGCTCCTAATTTTATTGCTTTTGGCTGTCACTTTACCTATCTAAATAATGTTACACACAATTATTTCTTGACTTAGCATTAGACATTATCTAGTGACTCTCTCCTTAGATATTATCTAGTGACTCTCCTCTGACATGTTTGATTACAGCAACTTGTGCCATTCCTTCCTACCACAAATATAGTTAATCACTATTTATAGTTAATCACTCTTCTGACTTCCTTCACTGATCACCTGTGGAACTTTAAACTACTTACTGATTCATTTCACTCAGTCACCAACCCACTCATTAACTCACTCACCTACTATGTTCTAGGTATGGTTGCACTTTTCTAAGTGCACGGGATACAGTGATGAAAAAAGGAAAGTCCTTACTCATATGTTATATATTTGAAAAAAACTGTAATATATAAATAAAAATAAATCACTGCATAAGAAAGTGAATTAAGAAATACAAGTAAAAACTAGAATAGGAAGTGCTATGCAGAGTGATATGGTTTGGATATTTATCCCTTCCAAATCTCATGTTGAAATGTTGTCCCGAATGTTAAAGGGGGGGCCTGGTGGGAGGTGTCTGGATCATGGCATTGGATCACTCAAGAATGGCTTGGTGCTGTCCTCCTAAGTGAGTTAGTTCTTGCAAGACCTGGTTGTTTAACAGTGTGTGGCACCTTTCCACCCCTCGCTCCTGCTCTCGCCATGTGACACAGCTGCTTCCCCTTTGCCTTCTGCCATGATTGGAAGCTTCCTGAGGCCCTCATCAGAAGCAGATGCTGGAGCCATGCTGGAAAGCATGCAGAACTGTGAGCCAATTAAACGTCTTTTCTTTATGAGTTACCCAGCCTTGGATATTTCTTTATAGCAATACAAAAAACAGCCTACTACACAGAGGGTTAAAATAAGAACAACAGAAACAACTGGGTGATTATTTTGGATTGCTCAACCACGGAAGGCCTTCCTGAAGAGACCTACTTTAGACCTACTTTAGTGCCTGATGCATCCAAGTGCCTAACATTTTATGACAAATCAATCAGGTGATTTTTAAGCTGAGATTGCATGACAAGGAGCAGCCAGCCATGTAATGACTGTCTCCTTGGAGAAGTGGTTCTAGATACCCTACTTGGTAGGATGAAAGCCATCATTTCTGGCTCTCCCTTTCCTTTATCACTCCTGTTTTACTTCTCAAACTCTATCACTGGCATCTTAACTTTTACAATAATGTTTCTCTATAGGACAACTCTAAATGTTGAAAACCAATAAGGTTTACATTAGAGATTATATGCTTATGACTGTGTTGCTGTTTTCTGCACAGCAAAACATGCTGTAGGGCTACCCTTTTTCTTCTCATAACCTCTCTGTAACACTGTCATTCAGTGTGCAGTCTGTTCGTACCTGGCACTGTCAAACTTTCTGTTGTAAAGGACTATATTGTAAATGTTTTAGGCAAGTACTCCACTCTGTCATTGTACCATGAAAGCAGCCACAGACAATACATAAACAAAAGAGCTATGAAAAAAACTGTATTTGTAAAAACAGATGGCAAGCTGTAGTTTGCCAATCCCCATATATAAATTTAATTTTATATTATTAAAGACATTTGTATTCTGCTTATAAAAATAAAATATAACAGCATTTGTATATAAATTCTAAAATCCAAAATGCAATTAACAGCACTTACATTGTGACTATGTAAATATTATTTCCTAGATAACCCAACAAGTGTGATGTGATTACTTTCTTCTATATGCACCCAATGCAATGACTAACTCGAATGCCTTTCAAAGCAAAATGCTTCTTCTCTTGCAAAGTATTATGAACTCTACATATGCATAAGCCAGCAACAACAAATACTAAAACGGCCAACTATGTTTCTCATGAACGTCAATCCACTCCCTTATCCCTCTCTTTAGTCAAAGTAAATTCCAGACAAATAATCTTACTTTTGTATATTGTTTAAGATTTTCTTAACTTCATCTTTAATTGTTCTCTTGAATTTTTTCGTTTTGAGAATTCTAACTAAAAAACATCTTTTAGAGACATGGTCTCAGTCTGTCACCCAGGCTGGAATGCAGTGGTACAATCATAGCTCACTATAGCCTTGAACTCCCAGGCTCAAGTGATCTTCCTGTTTCAGCCTCCTGAGTAGGTGGGACTACAAGAATGAACTACTATGTCCAGCTCAACAGTTTTATTTTTATATACTTAAGTGCTTCTTTAGCTTTGATTTTCCTTTGGTGTTTTTTGTTTTTGTTTTTGTTTTTGTTTTTTTTTCAGATAGTCTTGCTCCATCATCCAGGCTGGAGTACAGTGGCATGATCTTGGCTCACTGCACCCTCCACCTCCCGGATTCAAGTAATTCTCCTGCCTCAGCCTCCTAAGTAGCTGGGATTATAGGTGCACACCACCATACCTGGCTAATTTTCATATTTTTAGTAGAGACGGGGTTTCATCATGTTGGCCAGGCTGAACTCCTGACCTCAGGTGATTCACTCGCCTTGGCCTCCTGAAGTCCTGGGATTACAGGTGTGAGTCACCACACCCAGCCTGATTTTTCCTTTTTAAAATAGCATCTTGTTTGTATTTTATAGGTGCAATATATTCATTGAGGTTATTAAATAGATTAAACAAAAATCTCTCCTATTGTCTAAAATTTCTCTACTTCCTCTAGGGCTAGTTTTCTGTTTATATGGATCCTTTTCTCTTTTGAAATGCAGGTATTCTTTATATTTAAGAATCAGTGGCCAGGCGTGGTGGCTCATGCCTGTAATCCCAGCACTTTGGGAGGCCGAGGCAGGTGAATGACGAGGTCAAGAGATTGAGACCATCCTGACCAACATGGTGAAATCCCATCTCTACTAAAAATACAAAAATTAGCCAGGTGCATTGGCACACAACTATAGTCCCGTGACTCAGAAGGCTGAGGCGCAAGAATCACTTGAACCCAGGAGGCGGAGGCTGCAGTGAGCTGAGATTGCACCACTGCACTCCAGCCTGGCGACAGAGCAAGATCGTCTCAAAAAAAAAAAAAAAAAAAAAAAAAAAAGATCAGTGAACAGCATAGGTCACAGGAAGCTCTGCATTCCCAGGCTTTACTTTAGGGCTTATCCACGAGAAGCTGGCTTTTATCTAGGGAACCCAGAAAGGCCAAAACAAAAAGGACCTTAAGCTGTAATACTATACTCACTCTAACATCTCTTTTTTTTTTTTTTGAGATGGAGCCTCAGTCTGTCTCCCAGGCTGGAGTGCAGTGGCGTCTTAGCTCACTGCAACTTCCACCTCCTGGATTCAAGTGATTTTCCTGCCTCAGCCTCCCAGGTAGCTGGGATTACAGGCGCCGGCCACTATGCCTAGCTAATTTTTGTATTTTTAGTAGAGATGGGGTTTCATTATGTTAGTCTGGCTGGTCTTGAACCCCTGATCTCAGGTGATCTGCCCACCTCGGCCTCCCAAAGTACTGGGCTTGCTTAGAGATGTGAGCCACCGTGCCCAGTCACTCACTCTAACCTCTCTATACTTGCCTTTGTTTAATCTCTTTATAAAAGAACCCTCTAAGGCTGGGTGTGGTGGCTCACGCCTGCAATCCTAGCACTTTGGGAAGCCAAAGTGGGTGGATCACCTGAGGTCAGAAGTTTGACTAAACTAAAAGTACCGTCTCTACTAAAAGTATCAAGTTAGTTCAGCATTGTGGCGCATGCCTGTAATCCCAGCTACTTGGGAAGCTGAGGCAGGAGAATCCCTTTAACCGAGAGATGGAAGTTGCAGTGAGCCAAGATTGCTCCATTGCACTTTAGCCTGGGCAACAAGAACGAAACTCTGTCTCAAAAAAAAAAAAGAAAGAAAGAAAGAAAAAGAAAAGAACCTACTAATTTGGACCCTGGCTATAGGTCAGTCTCTTTGTAGTGGGTGACACAAATGAGGGGTTTAACTATTCTATATAATACTTTTGGTCATGGCCTCACTTCAGTGTACCACCATACCTATAGTCTCTCTGGGGCTCTACTACAGCAGCTCCTTCCACTACCCAGAGGTGTCCCTGGCCACTACATTCTTTGCTCCTTTCAGTCATCCAGCATTTTTCTAACTGCCTTCTGGCTTTGGAGGTGGATGAAGACTGATGGTGTGCTGAAGCTGGCTGTGAAACCACTAATATCCTGAAATCAGCCACTGTAAGAGTATTTACACCACTGAAATTTGCAAACACTATAAATCAGGGCTTTAAAGAATCTCCCTCACACCTCCAGGGAGCCAGTTTACTAGTACGCCAAAAAACGTCATCTATGCTGACATCCCTTCTCTGTCTCTTCTTTCTTTGTGGGGGTTTAGACCATTTCAAGTCATTTATTAAAAATTTAACAGAGTTGGAAAGGAAAGAAAGCAAAGACCTTTGCTCAGTCTGCCATCTTTAACCAGAAACCCATTTTTCTTTTTTTGGAGACAGGGTCTCTGACACTCAGGCTGCAGTGCAGCGGCATGATCTCCGCTCAATGCAACCTCCACCTCCTGGGTTCAAGTGATTCTCCTGCCTCAGCCTTCCAAGTAGCTGGGATTACAGGCGCCTGCCACCACGCCCAGCTAATTTTTGTATTTTTAGTAGAAATGGGGTTTCACCATGTTGGTCAGGCTGGTCTCAAAATCCTGATCTCAAGTGACCAGCCCACCTCAGCCTCCCAAAGTGCTGAGATTATAGGTGTGAGTCACTGCACCCCACCTTTTTTTCCCTAAGAAAGGGTTGCATTATAGTTAAGATGCACTGCCAGGCGAGGTGGCTCACACCTGTAATCCCAGCACTTTGGGAGGCCATGGCGGGAAGATCAGAAGATCAGGAGTTCAAGACGAGGCATGGCAGCAGGCATCTGTAATCCCAGCTACTTGGGAGGCTGACTCAGGAGAAATCACTTGAACCAAGAGGCAGAGGTTGCAGTGAGCCCAGATCGCGCCATTCCACTCCAGCCTGGGTGACGCAGCGAGACTGTCTCAAAAAAATAAAATTAAGGCCAGGTGTGGTGGCTCATGCCTATAATCCCAGCACTTTGGGAGGCCAAAGCGGGTGGATCACCTGAGGTCAGGCATTCAAGATGAGCATGGCGAACATGGTGAAAACCCTGCCTCTACTAAAAATACAAAAATTAGCCAGGTGTGGTGGCATGCACTTGTAATCCCAGTTACTCAAAAGGCTGAGTCAAGAGAAACGCTTGAATCTGGGAGGGGGAGGTTGCAGTAAGCCGAGATTGCGCCACTGCACTCCAGCCTTGGAGACAAGAGGGAGACTCTGTCTCTAAATAAATAAATAAATAATAAAATTTTTAAAAGATGTACTATACGGCAGTACACAGTACATTTAGTGGTACTTACAGTGGCACATTTCAAAGAGCTAGTGTACAGAACAAATCTCTTACCTGCATATCCAATTCATGGCATCTTTGAGCAATTTCTTCCTTTGCTGACAAAGCTTCATTTAGTTCCTCTGTAGTTTTCTTCAGCTGGTTAGAAACAAAGAGATAAACATTTCAATATGTAGTGGTAGCAATTAGTAATTCATATGTTCAACACAGAATTAAAACATTTCCCCCCTTTCTTTCCTGAAGAGAAAAGGATGCAGGGGGAAATGAAGAATCCTGTGCAAGAGTACAAAGACAGCACTTTTAACTTAAATTAATTTCTTTTACTCTAAGTCTTGTAGTTTCTGTCATTTGATTTTGGCTCATTCTGTGTATCAAGTTTTCTTATGCATCCTCTTTGATCTAGACTACTTGGTTCTTGTAAGGTTGATTCCTTAATAACTGAGAAGTTTTTCCATCATAAAATATGTAAGTGCTAGAGGAACCGGGGTTTTAATTGTTAAAATATGCAGCTAGAACATTTTAATACAAATGTTTTAGTCACATTAAAACCTTATTCTGAGGTAAGGGGAAGGAGAGCATTAGAACAAATACCTAATGTGTGCAGGGCTTAAAACTAAAGCGTGGGTTAAAATTGCAATGTGTCCAAAGGTTTTCCTGAAAAACATTTAGAAACCATGGGGAAAAAGTAAAAGAAGACAAACAATACAAGGATTTCTATTCCTGTATTGCAAAAGATGTCCAAAATAGCTTGAACACAGAATCTGACAGTGTAATTAACACTTCATTAAGAAGCGATATTTAGAAGTACAAAGTAACTTTTCTGTTAAAATCACAAAAATACACTGCAGGATTCCTTTAAAAATATAGTTTAATTATTCATTACTTCACAGAAATGAGGGGTGGAATTGAGAAAACATCTTCAACTGACAAAAGGAAATAAAAGTAAGTATCTTTTACATTATATATAAATCATAAAAATAAATTTATGTCATTTTCCAGGAATTTGATGTGTATTTCATTTTCCTAGCTGACATGAATTTATTCTTATAATTCATATAATCATAAATTATAACATCTATTGTGTTAAATGTGGCATATTGTTATCACTAACAGAAAAATAAAAATTAATGACTAGAAAACAGCAGTCACAATAAACTTAAAAAATTAACCTATCTGAAAGTACGTTATGCAATGGCACTTTAATTGAAAATGTATTTTATTATAAATTATAAACAATTATAAATGTGTAAATTTCATTAGTAAAATAGCTTATGTTCTTAAAAATTTAGGTAAAATATAAAGAATTATATCAATATAATTCAAAAGCAATTTTAATCCATTCTTCTCATTAACATCTGAAGCATATCCTTTTCAACTTTTCATGAATAAAAACAAGATAAAATTATATACCTGGCGATCAAGGTCAACATAGGCATCATTTCCAGCAGAGACAGGAGATTCTTTACTCATCAGCTGAAATTAAGATTTAAATGATTATAACTATGCGGCAAAAAAAACATTCTACATAAAATACTTAACACAAGAAAATGAACACCCAGCCACTAGAGAATTATAAAAATTAAAATGAAAACACACATGTAAAACACTTTCCATTAAAACTTTTGTGTCTGGAACTTATTTTGTCCTCACTCCAGTCTAATGCCTTCATTTAAAATTAGAGGGCTATCAGCACCATAAGACAGGGTGAGAGGAAAAAAAAGGAAATAATATAATAAATTAAGTCTAAATTCTGATGCTCATTTTCACTGCAAGCCTAGCAATAAGAATCTAGCATCACTTATTCTCATCAAAAAAACGACAAATCTTTAAAGTTAAAATGTGGCTACATACTTAAAAATAGTGACTTCTCAGTAAAAATAGCAACGTTATTTCTAAAGAATAAATGAAGACATCAATAATTAGCCAAAATTATTGGCTACTGTTTAATGATAACACACACACACTAACTCCCTAACTTTTATGGTGCAAAGAAAGAAGATCCAGAGATTTTCTGGATCTCCGGGGAGAAGGGAACAGAATTCTGGTTATGACAACTGTCAGGGAGAGACTCAAATGGCCCCCATCTTCTATTGTTTCCTTCTTATATTCTGTTTTAAGAACAAAAGGGAGAGGGGCAGTCAGTAATGTGGGGATGTATAGCTGGGTGTAGTGGTACATGCCTCTATTTCCAGCTACTTGGGAGGCTGGGGTGGGAGGAATGCTTGAGACTAGGAATTGGAGGCTACACTGAACTGTGATCACACCTGTGAAGAGCCACTGCACTCTAGTCTGGGTAATTTAACAAGACCACATCTCTTAAAAGAAAAAGAGAAATAGGGATATACTGTTGAGATCTTGTGATTCCACCAACAGCTCTCAATAAAAATCTAGGTATCCTATTCTGAGCACAACCATCTCTCTCATCCTAGGCCTCTCATTAAATGTTATCTGTTCCTCAACATTAGTAAGACTTCTGGGCCCCATCCCTCTGTACTTTCTGCTTGTCCTTCAGTCTTAGCCCATCATTGTTTTACTTTCTTCCTCACTTAGCTCAGACTTGATAGTGAACACTGTTGATTTTGCCTGCCTAAAGTTTACTCCTGTTTCTTCTGCTAATATTATCTACCCTTGGGAACTGTCCCCTCTACTTTAGATTCCTAGGTGCATCATTTGTTTATCCAATTATTTTCTCTAGATTTCATGTCCTTCTATGACTTTTGTCAGTATCCTCAACTCTCCTCTTACCTCATTTATTTATTTATTTATTTATTTATTTATTTATTTATTTATTTATTTGGAGACAGAGTTTCGCTCGTTACCCAGGCTGGAGTGCAATGGCGCCATCTCGGCTCACCACAACCTCCGCCTCCTGGGTTCAAGCAATTCTCCTGCCTCAGGCTCCTGAGTAGCTGGGATTACAGGCATGCGCCACCATGCCCAGCTAATTTTTTGTATTTTTAGTAGAGACAGGGTTTCACCATGTTGACCAGATGGTCTCGATCTCTCGACCTCGTGATCCACCCGCCTCGGCCTCCCAAAGTGCTGGGATTACAGGCTTGAGCCACCGCGCCCGGCCCTCATTTATTTTTTACCGGCAAAATCTCAATCCAAGATTAATCCAACTGCAACTACTTACATGCTACCTATACCCTGACTGCTAAGTCATCCCATGGTGTAGATGAGAAACTGGTTCTAGGACTCAGGCATATAACATGCACACACACTCAAGTCCCACAGGCAGCCCTGAAGAACCTGCTTATGTGAAATGCTGCCCCCTGTACATGTGGGTTTCACATTCTGCAAAGAATGTATATTCCATCTGTGTTTGGCTGAAAAAAACTACATAAAAGTAGACCTGTGCAATCTAAACCTGCAGAAAAGTAGATCTGTGTTTTTTTATGGGGCAAGTCTACTGAGGGTAAAAAAATTTTACAAACCACAAAACTGGTATCACCAACAGTAAGTTTCCAATCTCAACGGGACCTTCAACGCTGCTCAAAAAGTATAGCTGTTAGGCCAAATGCAGTGGCTCACATCTGTAATCCCAACACTTTGGGAGGCCGAGGCTGGTGGATCACGAGTCAGGAGTTCGAGACCAGCCTGGCCAATATGGTGAAACCCTGTCTCTACTAAAAATACAAAAATTAGCTGGGCCTTGTGACGCACACCTGTAGTCCCAACTGCTTGGGAGGCCGAGGCAGGAGAATCGTTTGAACCCAGGAGGCAGAGGTTGCAGTGAGCCGAGATCACACCACTGCACTCCAGCCTGGGCAACAGAACAAGACTCTGTCTCAAAAAAAAAAAAAATTTGCTATTTTCCCCAGCCAGCAGCTTCATTTTCATCAGAGATTATTCCACACTGTTCTTGTTTCTCGAACCTCATCTACATTCATCATCAGACTATCTTGCCTCCAGATAAGAATTTCCCACATCCTAACCTACAAACTTAGTGACAGGCATGCCCACCCCTTCCTTTCTTCATTTCTGTTACAACACAAGGCCTCTTCTTCTCATCCAAGGCTAATCCCCCACTGTGCTTTCAGCTTTGTCTCTTCCAGCATCTCCTATGAGACTTACACTTTGTGAGGCAAGAGACCATGTCTATCCTTCTCATGGATGTATCCCTAGTGCTGACTACAGTGCCTGGTACATACTGGGTACTCAATAAGTATATGATAAATGAATAAAATGAATATGTAAATAAGAGACATTAACCAATTTTAAAAATCTAATTGGGATTCTATTTTATATACAACTTTATATCTTATTCTGGTCATTCGACATTTAAAATTTTTTCCTTCTGTCCTAAGATACCCTTTTATACTTTTTAATCAACTATATGTTATTCCATCATATGGACATACCACAATTTAAACACTAGCTTACCAATGGATAGACACTATTTTCACATTTCTGTTAACATGAAATAGTTTGATAAACATTGTTGTGTCCAGTCTTGGTCTGAGTTTTTAGATAATTCCTTGGGATAAATTCATAGAAAGTCATGTGGTCACAGATTTAATTTTAAAAACATTCCTGGTTATAGATATAACACCTGTCATTATAGAAAAATTTAAAAATATAGAAAAAGGTAAAGAAAATTCAGCTATTTGGAGAGTTAACATTAAGTTTGTTTTCCCTCACCTTAGTTTTTAACAGATATGGGATCATTTTGTTCATGTGCTTTGTTATCTACCTTTTTAAACCTAATATGAGCTTTCCCTTACAACATTAAATATTTTTCAAAGATATGCTTCAATGCCTATGTAATATGCCAGTATACTGTTATACCATAATTTATTTATCCATTGCCCTACTGCTGGGTAGTTATTTCTAATGCTTCAGTACTAGGAAACAATACCAAAGCACACTATATTGAGAAGATACAGCACAATGGTTACAGGTATGGGCTCTGGATTCGGACTGCTTAGACATGAGTACTACCTCTGTCACTACTTCCTGCGTAAACCTGAGCAAGTTACTCAAACTCTGTTTTAGTTTCCTTTTATAAAATGAAGACAATAATTATACCTCACAGGATTGTAGTGAATTTTCCTCTTTACTGTGATAAATATACCTAACAAAATTTGCCATTTTAACCATTTTAAGTATAAATTTGGAGGCATTAATGGCAAGTGTACTGAATTTTAAATGAGCTAACAAATGGAAATTGCTTAGTCACAGCCCGATGTAGCACACAGTAGATGCTAGATAAATGCTTCTTACAACTATTATTATGTATCTTTGTATTTTACATTTTTTTAAAGGATAAATTCCTAAAAGTAGAATTACAGGATCAACTACAATAAGGCAGAATGGTTGGCGGTTCTCTTATTCTTTTCCCTGATCTTGCTCAGTAACAGAATCCTAAAATTTTTATTGGGTCCATACTATCTAGAATAAGGACCCCATTTCCCAAACTCCCCCATGTGACTAGGTGGGTAATACCAGGCTAACAGGAGTGAGAATTCCTGCAAATTTACTTGCAGGAGGTGGATAACCCTTGCCTCAATCCTTTCTGCTGGGTGGACATACAAATGTGAAAGCCAGCACTGAACCACTAGCTGGGAATCATGTATTAAGAATGGCACAGCAGCAAGATAAAGGAAAGCTAAATTCCTGATGACTATAGAGGCTCCACAACCCAGGACCACTGGAGAGCCAATTAAACGCTTATCTTGCTTGTGTAACTGATGTTTTGGTATTTTAACATGACCAAAGCTAATCTTATGTAATTTAAAAAGGGGTAAAATTTTTAAAAGATGTACCAGTTTTCATGCCTGCCGTCAGTGCTGACTGCTAAGCCAACAAACTCTTTAAAAGTTTTGCTGGATAATAAAGAATTTCCCTAGAGATAAGAGTTGTCTTTGCTATTCATAGTGGGCCCCTAGATAGTTCAAGCTGAAGAGATGACTCCAGATGGGAGCTGGCCACTTCAGAAAGTCCAATCATGTGATTATAAGGTTGGCGCTTTGTTATCGACCTGACCTGTGGGAAACAAAGGAGGCTGAAAATTGATTTGGACATCATGGTACCTGACTCAATCAACCATACCCATGTAATGAAACCCCAATAAAGATTCTGGATATAAAAGCTCAGATGAGCTTCTCTGGTTGGCAATACCCTGCATACTGCTTCCATGGGGTGGGGACAAAAGAAACTGCATTTGGGACCTTCCCCGACCTTACCCTATGCATTTTTTGGTTTAACAGAAACTTAACAATTAAGAGGCCGGGCGCGGTGGCTCAAACCTGTAATCCCAGCACTTTGGGAGGCCGAGACGGGTGGATCACAAGGTCAAGAGATCGAGACCATCCTGGTCAACATGGTGAAACCCCGTCTCTACTAAAAATACAAAAAAAATCAACTGGGCATGGTGGTGCGTGCCTGTAATCCCAGCTACTCAGGAGGCTGAGGCAGGAGAATTGCCTGAACCCAGGAGGCGGAGGTTGCGGTGAGCCGAGATCGCGCCATTGCACTCCAGCCTGGGTAACGAGAGCGAAACTCCGTCTCAAAAAAAAAAAAAAAAAAATTAAGAAACACCTTTAATTTGATTTGTATCTATTTGCTATAATAAAGCTGTTATCACTCCTGACTTGTGTGAGTTGTTCTAGTAAATTACAGAAGGTGCGGGGATAGTGGGAATCCTTGAATTTGTAGGCAGTTGGTCAGATGACAGGGTGGCCTGGAGACCCTTGAGCCTGGAGCTGGCCTCTGAACTATGGGCAGTCCTGTGGAGAGTGATGCCTTTAAATCTGTGAAGTTTAGCCCAACGTTGGGTAGTTGGTGTGAGAAGTCATTGCGAAAAGAGGTTTTAGGCACAACTTCACCTGAATTTGTATTTAATTAAATATTTTTCATGTTTGTCTTTTGTATTTTTCTATGTTAGGTGCATAATTCATGTCCTGCATACACTTTTCTATTTCTCTTAAGAGTTTCTTCCACTGCTTTTATGATTAAAACATTCTCACATCCTAAACTTGACCAGCTATTAGTCTTTATTTCATTTTTACTATTACAGTTTTATGGTTTTTTTTTTTTTTTAATGGAGTTTCACTCTGTCACCCAGGGTGGAGTACAGTGGCACTATCTTGGCTCACTGCAACCTCCGCCTCCCAGGTTCAAACAATTCTCTTGCCTCAGCCTCCCGATTAGCTGGGACTACAGGCGTGTGCTACCATGCTCAGCTAGTTTTTTATATTTTTAGTAGAGATAGCGTTTCACCATGTTAGCCAGGATGGTCTTGATCTCCTGACCTCGTGATCCACCTGCCTCAGCCTCCCAAAGTGCTGGGATTACAGGCGTGAGCCACCGTGCCTGGCCTATGTTTTACATTTCAAACATAAATATTCATCTAGAAATTGCTTTGGGCATGGTGGAGGTAAAGATCCATTTTCTGCCAAACAGGAAAGCACCAGTTCAGTGTGAGGAAGACTGCTGGTTTAAGATAGATATTATTTATTATTAGCTTTAGCAATTAGTCTGCTATTACTATTTCATTAAGGGCACTTTAAAAAATTAGGAATAGTTATATCTATACCTGCAAAATAAATGTTTAAGATTTAAATAAAACTGAAAAATTTAAATGAGAATAATTTTTTAGAATAAAAACAAGAAAGTTTTATCATAAATTTGCAAAGTAAAAACTTTAAAAATGAGCATGAGAATCTCTTAAGATTTTCTACTTTATATTATTTATACTCATGTTCACTCCTTTAATTTTTCATAAACTGTAAGCATGAAGGTCCAACATACCTCCTGAATGGCTGTCATGACAACATGTTGAACAGATTCCTCCATCATCATAATGGCTTGGATGTACTCTGAAAACAAGAACAATCTGGAATGTCACCGTTTAAGTTAAAGATGGTCAAGGGAGTCAAAGCTCATACTTCATAAATTCTTGTAAGTTGTTTCCCTGTGTTTTGATTCCTCCTAGGAATCCCTCATACACAATTAAATATATTGCCATTGATGAAGTCCAAAAATCACACTATTAAAGATCTTTTTTTTCTTGTCACCATTCCTTCTAAAGTTGAGGCTATAGCTATAGTCACAGAATGGAATATCGGTATGAGTATGTGCTAATGTAAAATGATGAAATGATAAAGCCTGAAGCCAGGATGGAAAAAACTCCATATTACTTTTTTCTAAAATCTAAAAACTATCTTTCATATTACTCTTTGCTACAGAAAAAAAAAAAAAAACCCTTTAAACTCTGTGCTTTATTCTTATGTGACATCAAAGTGCTGCATTGTGTTTTATTTCTGCCTTAATATTTACTACTACAGAAAACAAAACAAGAAAAGGAAGCTGAGAGCTGCTTAGGACAAAGAATTGAGATAAATTTAAGATACAAATTGAAACCACAGTTAAACAAATATTGTATAATCCTGGGCTTTAAAATAATTACTGGCTGGTCTAAGGGTAGTGAGTTAATACAATTGACTGTTCAGTTACAGACAGAACTCCTTGTTCTACTACTCCCCCCTTCTCACAAAGGCACTTGACTAATCAAAAACAAAAATAAATGATCCACACCTCCAATAAGCTAAAGCAGCAACTGCATCAATCTCATCCTCCACTGCCAAAAAAATAGAAAGATCTCTTTGTTATCAGTAATTACAAAGTTGAAAATAATTTCCTGTCTTCTAAAAAAGCCTTGGAAGTAGTTTCCATTTCTGAATCCAACAATGGATTACAAAAAAGTGGCATTAATGATAAAAAGCCAATAGCCCAGGTGGATTCCAACACATGTGTTAAATATGTTGCAATAAGAAACACGTAAGGGAGGCTGAGGTGGGTGGGTTACTTCAGGTCAGGAGTTCAGAACCAGCCTGGCCAATATGGTATAACCCCATCTCTATTAGAAATTCAAAAATTAGCCAGGTGTTGTGGTGGGCACCTGTAATACCAGCTACTGGGTGGCTGAGACAGGAGAAATGCTTGAATCTGGGAGGCAGAGGTTGCAATGAGCCAAGATCGCGCCACTGCACTCCAGCCTGGGCGACAAGAGTGAAACTCCATCTCAAAAAAAGAAAGAAAGAAAAATGTAAAAGAGCAATTAGGAAATTTTAGGCTACCTCTCCAATCCCACACATATCCAAACAACATGCACACAAAAAAAATCTCACTCCTTGAGGTAATATATGAAGGGGTCTTATCATGAAACTGTCAAAGTCCTCTTTTGATAAGAGATTCATGTATTTGGAATGACAACTGTAACCCTCTGTCCAACAGAGAATTTAAAATAAATGAGGTATTTTTACAATACTAGTGAATTATGACTTCTGATTAATGCGAAAGCTTTAGTTTATCAAAAACATGTTTTTAAGGAAGTATTGTTGTAAGGCTACTTGTACCCAATCAATTGTTAGGTTATTAGTACAAACAATCGTAAGATAACTAAATCATAGGGACTGTTCTTAGGCCAACAATAGGAATATATCATAACTTAATCACTGTTTAGACAAAAAAGAATTCTTTAGTCTGAGCTCAATTTTTCGATTTATTTTCTTAATGAGAATCACCCTATGAGTGTTGGAATACAGAAAAGGAACTTTTAGATGTTCTGTTCAGAAGTATGGAACACAGAATTCAAAGGCTGTGGAGAAACCAGCAGAGATAGGATGACTAAATAGCTCTCAAAGTAAGACTATGAACATGGAAGAAAAGAAGCAGTAGCACTAATAATGGGAAAGAGAATTAATGACAGCCTATCGAAAGTGAAGGAAGTAAGAGTGGACTCGAGGGGCAAGGGGTTAGTAGGTGTGAGAGGGGAAGCGTTAGTTAAGAAGCGGTGTTGCCACGTCAAGGCCCTTCCCCGCGAACACCGTAAAATGCTAAATGATAAAATGATGATGAGAGCTACATTACTGCACAGTTTTTTAAATAAAAAAAATTATAAGTCTTTAAAAGTACAAAATACAAATGATATGCTATCATTGGGTGTGTGTCTATGAGGCAATGCTGGAGGATGAGGTGTGCTATGTGAGGGAGCTTATCCTGAATCCTTCACTGTCTAAAATTCACAGCACAGTTTATCACAAGGAGTATAAAGTTTAAATGTGGAAGAAACATGAGTTTTCGTCCTTGTCTAGCCTCTCACAACTAGAAATTATTGGGCAAGTCACATAACACTTAAGAGTCTCAGCTTCCAAGTCTGTAAAAACCATGTTTTGGTACCAGACAGAAGGGAAATAATAAATATTATTAGTGTGTCTTCTACCACTACTCTTTGTTTTTTCAAATTTAACACCATTTTATTTGCCCCAATTTGAGAAGTAATATAGCCAATACAAATGTGCACTGAGTCAACATCCCTAGCAGATGTTCCTCACATCTTCTTATTAGGAAACACATTTAAACACAAGCTCCTTTTTATCTCCGTAGTGATCTCTTTGTGCTTTATGGAGCACGAAGTGTGTGTGTGCGCACACACGCATGCGCGTGCACACACACACACACACACACACAATTTTCATACATGACAACCAGCTTTTACATCCTTATTCTGCAGACAAGGACACAAGCAAAATATCTCATTATAAGTGAGTCAAGTAGTAAACGGCAGAACTGCTTTGTGAGTGTTATATTATATGTCATAAATATGCAGTAACAGCTAATGTTTAACCACTCAGACACTCATGTACTTGATCTTAGCACTCTACTGTGTTCCTGAGAGATGTCCTAAATCTAGACAAATGAGATGTTCAAATTCTGTTCAGTAAGTTTCCATCATTTATACAATATTGGAGGGAAACTCAATCTAGGTGTTTCCACAGAACATTTGGTCTGAGTGAGAACTTCAATAAATATTATAACTGACTATCTTCTTTGCCATAGGAATATGGATATAAGTAACATCTTTGTCTTTTCCTAGTCGTTCTGTATTAAACCTATCTAACTGACTCTCAATAGCTATGTACTTCCAAAGACCCCTTCATATTAAGGAGAATCCCAGAAATCAATGAATTTTCTAAAAGGATACCTAAGAACTTATTATCTGATATCAATGAACTTCAATTAAATAATTTCTCATCTACCTTGAAATCAAACATCTATTTAGAGATTTAATGTCTCTCAAATCTTACATATACCAACCTCCTAATCTTCGACAGAAAACTTCTTAAGACACCTCAAGGAATATATACAGATCACAAATGCAGAAAATTCCATATTTAATTCTTGAGCTAAACTGAATAAGCAAACTAAAATTTCCAATAAGAAAATGGTGGCCAAGCACAGTGGCTCATGCTTGTAATCCCAGCACTTTGGGAGGTAGAGGCAGGCATTTCATGAGGTCAGGAGTTTGAGACCAGACTGACCAACATGGGGAAACCCCGTCTCTACTAAAAATACAAAAAGTAGCCACATGTGGTGGCACGCACCTGTAATTCCAGCTACTCAGGAGGCTGAGGCAGGAGAATCGCTTGAACCCAGGAGGCAGAGGTTGCAGTGAGCTGAGATCGTGCCACTGCACTCCAGCCTGGGTGACAGAGCAAGAATCTATCTTGAAAAGAAAAGAAAAGGAAAAGAAAAGAAAAAAAAGAAAAGAAAAGAAAAGAGAAAAGAAAAGAAAGAACATGGTATGATAAAATAATAGGAATGGGGCTAGAAAGAAATATATTGTTTAAAAAATACTGAATCGAAGACCAATAAAATTAGCCATAGCTTCAAAAAAATAATGCTATTATTAAACTTATCACATAACACCAAAAAGTACAAACAACAAGTTAATACAAATCCATTTTGCACTACAAGGAGTGGAGGGTGAGGAAACAAGAATAAAATCTTTGGGCTTAAAAAAAAACCCATCTTCTTCAAGATAAGTAGTAGTAATATACTGTGCTGTCGTCATTTATAATAGCCCCTATGTCCTGCCTAATTTTCCTTCATCCCTTTCTCACTATACTCCAATTAGAGTGTAGTGGGTTTTTTAATTCCTCAGAGATAACCTAGGTCTTTCCTACATTTGGTTTCTACTATTTACATTACTTTTAACCCACTGTCCTCCATATCTTTGCTTAAATAACTTCCCTGACCTCAAAACCTGGCTGACCCGCTTTACGGTGTAGCTGCAGAGCACTCACCTCTGCACCCAGCATACAGGTATCTGTGGCATTATCTAATGTCCTTCTACTCAAGTTCCTTGAGGGCAGGCACTTGTCTGTTCTGTCTAACACTATATTCCTAGCCCCTAATGTAATGTATAAATTCAACAAATATTTGTGAAATAAATTGAATACAGAAGAGAAAATGAATTTAAGGTAAAATTTATCTACTTTACTGTATGATAAATTTGAATGGCAGTTTTTAGAAACAAATAATTTCTATGCAAATGAGTAGGTGTTAACAGACAAAACAAAAAAAGTGCTATTTAAGATTAGAGAAGCATTTTGGAAGAACTAAAAAAAAGATATTAATTATCTATATATCAAAGTCTTCGAGTAACTTCAACAAAGTGCAAATCTGTCAACCTGGATTTGCTGAACATATAAAAGTACATTTAACTAACAAAATCTGTAAATTAAAAGTTAACTTACTGAGAATAGCCTTCTCTAATTCTACATTAGTGGTTTTACTAATTTATATTCCATATATTCATAAAATAAACATAAATCATTAAACACCACCTTATGACATTTAACAAATTGTGGCTACTTGAAAGTTCACAAAAGCATACAATAGAAAATTAAACTAAAATGTTTAAAAATATTACATATAGACCAAGGTGGTGGCTCACGTCTATAATTCCAGCACTTTAGGAGGCTGAGATGGGTGGATCACTTGAGGTCCGGAGTTCAAGATTAGCCTGGCCAAAATGATGAAACCCTGTCTCTACTAAAAATACAAAAAATTCAGCCAGGCATGGTGGTGCATGGCTGTAATCCCAGCTACTTGGGAGGCTGAGGCAGGAGAATCATTTGAAACCGGGAGGGAGAGGTTGCAGTGAGCTGAGATCATGACACTGTACTCCAACCTGGGCAACAAAGCAAGATTCTGTCTCGAAAAAATAAAATAAAATTCTATATGTAAAATTTATAATAGTTTCTAGTAGTAACTAACATTTTGTGAACCCCTACAATGTGCAAGCCACTGTACTGTTCTATAGACATGATCTCATTTAGTTTCCACGATAACCTTAGGAGGTATTATACTAAATCTCTGTTCTACTAAAAAACTAAATACAGACATTGAGTGATCTGCTCAATGTCCTTCAGATTGTCTGAGAGGTGGAAATGAGCTGAAATTCACAGGTTGATGCAAACTGCAGCTCATGATCTTAATCTCATATTTCAATATAATAATAATATATTGGGTCATTTCAGCTCCGGGAGCTTGAAATATTTTAGATTGCAATACAAAGAACATGGGAAAAAATAAGACAGTTCTCACATTTACATGGTTAATGAGAAAATTTTCTAGCAGTGATAGATACTATTAACTTATTTTAAAAGTCTTTATTGTTATGAAAATTAATCCCAAAGTTTCCCAGGTTTTTCAAGGTTTTCTTGCCAGAGAAGGTTAATACAAAATATCCTGTGGTATTTCCTTTTTTTTTTTTTTTTGATATAGAGTCTTGCTCAGTTGCCCAGGCTGGAATGCAGTGGTGTGATCTCAGCTCACTGCAATCTCTGCCTCCCAGTTCAAATAATTCTCATGCCTCAGCAACCTGAGAAGCTGGGATTATAGGAGTGTGCCACCACACTCAGCTAAATTTTTTTTTTTTTTTTTTGTATTTTTACAAGAGATGGGGTTTCATCATATTGGCCAGGCTAGTCTCAACCTCCTGGCCTCAAGTGATACGCCCACTGTGGCCTCCCAAAGTCCTGGGATTACAGGCATAAGCCACTGCACCCGGCCTCCTATGGTATTTCTTAAAGTTTTACAATTATTTAAAAATATATGAAACAATTTTGCTGTATGTCATACTATACTTTCCTTTAAAAGATAGTCAAGGCAACATCTAAAATTTAGCTCAGGGAGTAATTTCTTGAGGAAGAGTATCTGCCAGATTTTGGGGTAGGAACTCCAATTTAAAATCTATTTTTATTATTTAAACACTGCATATAATGATACTCTTCCTTCTCTTTTTCCCCATAGTAGAGATAAACTTGCAAATGGTTCCCAAATACAATATGTCTAAAAAAAGAAAAAAGAAAAAGAAAAGCTGAAAGCATCTGTTATGTGTTGGGAAGACAGACCTGAATACGTACTAAACTGCTGTATGTCTCTGCTCATTTTTTCCAGATTAAGTAGATGTGGTCAAATTAACAGCAAATTTCATTGCATTCAGTGTAGTCATCTACTCAAGGAATTATGTAGTATTGCACAAAGGAAAAAATATCACCACAATCAAATTTATTTTAATGTGTGAAATTTACTTAAGCTAAAAAACAAATTACTAGTAAAGCTGTAGAAAATGCCATTCTCTGGGGTGGCCTTAAACAGATGTTATTATTGGTACTGGTGATTTATATATAAAATGTACAGTATATATTACTTTTCTTCATTATTTTAAATGCAAACACTAACTTGAAACAAATTACCTTGCTTCTGTTCACAGTTCACAGCACAGCCTAAGATGAGCTGAAGCATCCTTCCGAGCTCTGCCGCATCAGAATGCTCCCCAATAAGGTTCACATCAGGAAGGGTAAAGTCATTAATTTGCTGTCCTAAAATCTGAATGGAGATAAAAGGATTATAACTGCATTACATTTATATAACCAAAACACAAACAAACAAACAAACAAAACCCAAAAACTTGATTGAGGTTAGTTTGTTATTACTAGAAACTCATTGCCAAGGACAGAGTGACTACGTTCCATTTCACTCCCAATTTCTATTTTTACCTCCCATACCTAAATTATAATTATTTTGAGTCACAGCAACTAGTCCCTAATCTGGTATGTGGCATGTACATCAATAAAAAAACTGAGTACTCCAAGAAGAAATGGGTGTATGCTCTCTGAAGAAGTAGAACTAGAGAGGTTATGAACTAGGGGGTACCAAAAAGAGCTTAGATTAAACATAAATTCATGTCCCCAACAGTAAGATTCCCACTAGCCACCTTCACTCCATTTGATTCCTAAATCACTGGCAGCAAAATACCTGTATCAGGGAGGAGCATGAAGGATTTCTCTATGGGGAATGAATGTTCCCACATGAAATGACTCATATGCAGACAAATGAGCACGTCTCTATCTGATAATCCTACAGTGAAATGTACCACTCAAAAAGCACCCCCAACTCAGATTCCAATCAGCTTTTTATAGTGGTTTACTTTTAAATGTCAACAAACAACCAAGGACCACTGAGATATCTGAGAAGTCTCCAACATTAAAAATAGACAAAAACAATGAAAGCAAACTCAGAAGAAAGTAAATAATGCAGCAAGGGAAAGAAGATAAAATTTTAAACATTCTGTAACTAGATCATACACAGGTGGTAAAACTATCAAGACAAACAAAAAAATAATTATTTAAAAACTTGGGAATCATGGTTTTCCGTGGATAGGAGGTGAAGAAAGAGGTTATGATCAAGAAGGTAAACCAAGCCCTGCTAGGCGCTGGCAACATTTGACTGACCTTATTTATTTGAGAGTTTCACTCTTGTTGCCTAATCCGCAGCGCAATAGCATCATCTTGGCTCATTGCAACCTCTGCCTCCCAGGTTCGAGTGATTCTCCTCCGTCAGCCTCCCAAGTAGCTGGGATTACAGGGTGTGCCACTAACCCAGCTAATTTTGTATTTTTAGTAGAGATGAGGTTTCACCATGTTGGTCAGGTTGGTTTTGAACTCCTGACATCAGGTGATCCACCCATCTTGGCCTCGCAAAGTGCTGGGATTACAGGCATGAGCCACTGTGCCCAGACAAAGGACTGGTATTTTAGATGGATGGTCAAAGAAGCCCTCCATGCTAAGGTTAAAACTGAGCAGAGTCCTGGATTGAAGGGGCAAACCATACAGTTATAGGTGGCGGGGATACAAGACAGGGGTTACCAGTCAGTGGTCTAGGGAAGGGGTGGAAGATAAGGTGCAAGAGTCAGGATGGGGGAGGCATGTCACGTAGGTCCTTATAAGTTACGTCAAAGATGTGAGTTTAATTATGAATAATAAGGAAATCAAATTGAATTACAAGAACAGAAATATACCACCAACCAGATTAAATTAAATTTTTCTCCTTGAATAGGAAAATCAATTTCTAGAAGGACATAAAAGAAACTGCTAACAGTGATGCCCCCTGGGAGGAAACTGGGTAGTGTAAAGTTAAGAAATGAATAAAATTGGCCAGGTGCGGTGGCTCATGCCTGTAATCCCAGCACTGTAAGAGGCCAAGGTAGGCAGATCATCTGAGGTCAGGAGTTCAAGACCAGCCTGACCAATATGGTGAAACCCTGTCTCTACTAAAAATACAAAAATTAGCCAGGCATGGTGGTGGGTGCCTGTACTCCCAGCTACTAGGGAGGCAGAGGCAGGAGAAATTGCTTGAATCCAGGAGGCAGAGGTTGCAGTGAGTCGAGATTGTGCCACCGTACTCCAGCCAGGGCGACAAAGTGAGACTCCGTCTCCAATAATAAAATAAAATAAAATAAACACAATGAAAAGACCCAAACCTATGTTTGATTAGTGTGCCTGGAAGTGATGGGGAGAATGGAACCAAGTTGGAAAACATTCTTCAGTATATTATCCAGAAAAACTTCCCCAACCTAGCGAAACAGGCCAACATTCAAATTCAGGAAATACAGAGAACACCACAAAGATACTCCTCAAGAAGAGCAACCTCAAGACAAATAATCATCAGATTCACTAAGGCTGAAATGAAGGAAAAAATGTCAAGGGCAGCCAGAGAAAAAGGTGGCGTAACCCACAAACGGAAACCCATCAGACTAACAGCAGATCTCTCTCTGCAGAAACCCTACATGCCAGAAGAGAGTGAGGGGGCCAATATTCAACATATTTTTTTCTTTTTTTTTTTGAGATGGAATCTTGCTCTGTCACCGAGGCTGGAGTGCAATGGCGCAATCTCGGCTCACTGTAGGCTCTGCTCCCCCGGTTCCACTGATTCTCCTGCCTCAGCCTCCTAGGTAACTGGGATTATAGGCACACGCCACCATGCCCAGCAATTTTTGTATTTTTAGTAGAGATGAGGTTTCGTCATGTTGGCCAGGCTGGTCTTGAACTCCTGATCTCAAGTGATCCACCTACCTGGACCTCCCAAAGTGCTGGGATTACAGGTATGAGCCACTGGGCCCGGCCCCAACATCTTAAAGAAAGGAATTTTCAACCCAGAATTTCATAACCAACCAAACTACTCTTCATAAGCCAAGGAAAAATAAAATCCTTTACAGACAAGCAAATGCTGAGAGATTTTGTCACCACCAGGCCTGCCTTACAAGAACTCCTGAAGGCAGCACTAAATATGGAAAGAAAAAAACGGTACCAGCCGCTGCAAAAACATACCAAATTGTAAATACCGTCAACACTCTGAAGAAACCATCTACTAATGGACAAAATAACCAGCTAGCATCATAATGACAGTATCAAATTCACACATAATATTAACCCCAGATGTAAACGGGCTAAATGCTCTAATTAAAAGACACAGACTGGCAAGCTGGATAAAGAGTCAAGACCCCCATTGGTGTGCAGTATTCAGGAGACCCATCTAATAGACATACACAGGCTTAAAATAAAGGAATGGAGGAATATTTACCAAGGAAATGGAAAGAAAAAAAAAAGCAGGGGTTGCAATTCTAGTCTCTGATAAAACAGACTTTAAACCAACAAAGCTCAAAAGAGACAAAGAAAGGCATTACATAATGGTAAGGAGATCAAGGCAACAAGAAGAGCTAACTATGCTAAATACATTTGCACCCAATACAGGAGTACCCAGATACATAAAGCAAGTTCTTAGAGACCTACAAAGAGACTTAGACTCCCAAACAATATAGTGGGAGACTTTGACACCCCACTGTCAATATTAGACAGATCAATGAGACAGAAAATTAACAAGGATATCAGGACTTGAACTCAGCTCTGGATCAAGCAGACCTAATAGACATCTACAGAGCTCTGCACCCCAAATTTACAGAATATACATTCTTCTCAGTACCGTATCACACTTAATCTAAAATTGACCACATAATTAGAGGTAAAAAACTCCTCAGCAAATGCAAAAGAATAGAAATCATAACAGTCTCTTGGACCACAGTGCAATCACATTAGAACTCAGGATTAAAAAACTCATTCAAGGCCGGGTGCGGTGGCTCACGCCTATAATCCCAGCACTTTGGGAGGCCGCGGCGGGTGGATCATGAGGTCAAGAGATCAAGACCATCCTGGTTAACATGGTGAAACCCCGTCTCTACTAAAAATACAAAAATTAGCTGGGCATGGTGGCGCGCACCTGTAGTCCCCGCTACTCGGGAGGCTGAGGCAGGAGAATTGCTTGAACCCAGGAGGCGGAGGTTGCAGTGAGCCAAGATCGTGCCATTGCACTCCAGCCTGGGTAACAAGAGCGAAACTCTGTCTCAAAACAAACAAACAAACAAACAGAAAAAAAAAAACTCATTCAAGGCCAGGCTTGGTGGCTCATGCTGTAATCCCAGCACTTTGGGAGGCTGCGGCGGGTGAATCATGAAGTCAAGAGATCCAGACCATCCTGGCCAACATGGTGAAACCCCCCGCCCCCCCCCGTCTCTACTAAGAAACACAAAAATTAGCTGGGTGTGGTGGCACTCGCCTGTGATCCCATCTACTCGGGAAGCTGCGGCAGGAGAATCACTTGAACCTGGGAGGTGGAGGCTGCAGTGAGCCAGGATCACACCATTGCACTCTAGCCTGGCAACAGAGCAAGATTCCATCTCAAAAAAAAAAAGAAAGAAAAAGAAAGAAACTCACTCAAAACTGCACAACTACATGGAAACTGAACAACCTGCTTCTGAATGACTACTGGGTAAATAATGAAATTAAGGCAGAAATAAGTAAGTTCTTTGAAGCCAGTAAGAACAAAAAAGACAAAATGTACCAGAATCTCAGGGACACAGCTAAAGCAGTGTTTAGAGGGAAATTTATAGCACTAAACTCCCACAGGAGAAAGTGGGAAAGATCTAAAATCAAAACCCTAACATCACAATTAAAAGAATTAGAGAATCAGGAGCAAAAATATTAAAAAACTATCAAAAGACAAGAAATAACGTAACTCAGAGCAGAACTGAAAGAGAAGAGACACGAAAAACCCTTCAAAAAAATCAATGAATCCAGGAGCTGGTTTTGTGAAAAGATTAACAAAATAGATAGACGGCAAGCCAGACTAACAAAGAAGAAGAGAAAGGAATCAAAGAGACTCAATAAAAAAATTATAAAAAGGATATCACCACTGATCCCACAGAAATACAAATTACCATCGGAGAATACTATAAACACCTCTATGCAAATAAACTAGAAAATCTAGAAGAAATGGATAAATTCCTGGACACATATACCTTTCCAAAGACTAAACCAGGAAGAAGTTGAATCCCCGAATAGGCCAGTAACAAGTTCTGAAATAGAGGCAGTAATAACATACCAACCCAAAAAAAGCCCAGGACCAGACAGATTCACAGCCTTATTCTACAAGAGGTACAAAGAGTCATTCAGGTAGGCTTGCATATGAAAACAAACAAACAACAACAACAAAAA